GGGACAGGGAGGGGGGCACATCCAAGCCAACCCTACATAGGTAGGTGTAGAAGTATGATTAAATACAACTCGGGTTTGTTCCAGCACTTGATTATATCTTAGCCTTGTTACTGCAATTAAGCCTGGTTCGGAGAAGGCCTATCATGTTATTAAGGGGTCAGATCCGTTTTTTATCGCCGCTAACCGACCTCCTATAGGAAAACATTGAGGCCATGATGTATCTATTAAGGGAAAAAACAACTCAGTTAATACCGCGTCCAAATAAAAACTCGATTATTTCATGTTAATTCAATAGGTAAAAATATAATTATAGGCACACTTTATATACAAGGATTATTAAGGTTATATTAAGTAAAATATAAACACTTAAACTACTTTCTTGTTTAATAAACGTATAAACTGAATATCAATGTTTGGACCGAAAATATGTTATATTTTAAAATATTAACGAGTTTTTTTAGGAAGATATTAAAATAAAAATCTGGTGCGCTCATCACAAAACTTTCACTTACCGCTCTACTAATGTTGGGCTATTACAAAAAATTTTAAGTGGATTTTTTACGAAACTAAAGCTTAAATCTTACAGCTAGCAATTCTTTAAGACCATTAAAATACCAAAAACTATATTTATTATGTCGACGGCAGGCAATAAAAACCTCGTAAGTCCATCTGTTATAGTAAACCACATAACTCCAGCTATATATATCTGAGCTATATATGTCTAGAGAGGTTCGAGAGTACATCTATATATATATATATATTATATATATATATATATATATATATATATATATATATGGTGCGCCGATCACTTTCACTTAGTCTTCTTTGTAGAAATAGGTATTTTTAAACAAAGGGAAAGTGGAAGTAAAAATTATTGACGCTATATTTATTTACAATTCATTGTTGGTATTTTTGGTTGTTTAAAGACCCTCATATATACAAATTTTAATTTTTATATCGCAGTATTCTATATAATTAAATATTGAATAATTCCAACGATAGCAATTATGAAAACCGCATATGTATATGAATATAATATTGTCGAAGTCCGTATTATATGAAGCTCATGTTAAGTAGGAAGCCTATTGTAATCTTTCCGTATCTTTCCTATTGTAAGCTCCGACAAGCTCGTATTCTTTTGATTCCTCTATTTCATCTATTATCCGTTTACTTATTTACTTAATGGCACTACAGCCCTAGTTCGACCTTGGTCTCACTTATAATTGATAGCCATTCCTCTCTTCCTTTGCCATCCTCTTACTCCTATCCGTCTCAAATCATACTCTACGTCATCCAACCACCTCAACCTTGGTCTTCCTGCTAATCTCCTTCCGTCTGACCTGCCATTCATTATCTTTTTGGTAGCCTCTGATCCGGCATCCTTTGGACATGGCCCAGTCATCGCAACCTTCCTTCTTTGATGAATATTAGACTCACCAAAAAGCTGTTGGAGCTCTCAGTTTTTACTAATTTTTCAATGGACATCCTTTTTTACTGGGCCAAATATCTTTCGGAGGATCTTTCTCTCCCAAACGTTCTGGATCGTCTCACCCAGCATTCACTGCCATATATCACCACCGGACAATACTTGAAATTTAAGGAGTTTATTAAGCGCAAAAAGGCATTTGCTACCAGCTGCTATTCTGCCTTTGATCTCTGTATTTGTATCATTGTCTTCTTTTACTAGAGATCCTTGTAATTTGCAGCGCTTGAATTTGTGCCCAATTCTTGTGTTGAATTTGTACTTCTTCTTCCGGACCTAATTGAGTTCCAGACGTCCTCATCTACTCCATCTTAACTTCATTTAATTTCAATCCTCTGCTCGCTCTGTGGCTGTCCACTTCAAACTCTTCCAACGCTCCTGACAGGGCTGGTAGTGTGTGCTGTGATGACTACATCATCTGCATAGGCCATGTGCTGGCTAAGCCTACTATAGATATTTCCTCCTGGGTTGGTCCTAATTGCTCTTACTGCCTTTTCGAGTGCCAGATTAAATACTACGGGTGGCAGTGGGTCTCCTTATCTCAGTCCCCCTGCCACATCGAACTTTTCCCGTAGGGCTCCTCCAACTCTTACCTGAGACTTAGTTTCCTTCCACGCCATTTGAATCAACTTCGCCAGCTTTGGGGGGGGGGGGGAGGGCTCCTAGGGACCTGATATCCGTTGCTACCCTTTCCCTGTCTACCGAGTCGTATACCTGTTTGAAATCTATAAAAAGGTGGTACCGACTAACATTATGCTCGTGACTCTTTTCCAATTACTGTCTTAACGTGAAGATTAAGTGAGTTGTGGATCTTCCTTGTCTAAAACTACAATAGTAGTCGCCAATAATCATCTCAGACCATCTTATCAGCCTCCGGTTAGTGTCAATGGAAAGAATCTTGTACACAGACGAGAGAAACGCTATCCCACGATAGTTGTCGCATACCATCCTGTCGCCTTTCTTATAAACTGCGCAAAATAAGGCTTTACTCCAGTCTCTCGGCATACTTTCCTGAGTCCCTATATCCCATACCAATTGATATATTTGGTTTATCACTGCTTGTCCTCTATATTTCAGGAATTCATTCGATATCTCGTCAGTTCCTGAGGCCTTATGGTTCTTTAGTGAAGAAATGATCCAGTATTTCCTCCTGATCTGGTGGTACATCCTCTTCATTATTATCCTCTTGCACCTCATTGCATTCGTCCTGCTACCCTCCTTTGGTACTAATAACTTCTGTCTTATTTAAATTCAATAAGTTCTTGAAATATCTTTCTCTCTTTACCTCTCTTTTTTCTCCTACATATTCTTCTTACCTCTGCTCTTTTCTTTTGATAGCTCTCTCCTGAGATTCTCGTTACTCTCTGGATCAATTTCATTCTGGCATCATTTCTTTCTTTGACTGCATTTTTCACATTCCTTGTCATACCAGTCGCTTCTTCTTTTCTGCCACACTCTTCAATGTATCTCTGAAAGTACACCAGTTTCCTTCAATTGGCTCTGCTCTTTTTAAGTTTTCAAATCTGTCCTCAGTTTTCGTTTTAAATAAATCTCGGGTCTCTTCAAGTTGCAGCTTTTCTCGATTATAAATGAATTTTCTTCCTCCTCGGGCTCTTTGGTATGAGGCAACTTTCATTTTATATCCAGCCTTGACTAGAAAATGGTCTGACTCATAGGAAGCATCTCTGAAACTGCGCACATCTTGTATGTCTGTTGCGTGTCTACTATCGACCAACACATGGTCAATTTGATTCCGTGCCTTTCCATCTGGAGATGCCCATGTCTCCTTGTGAATATTCTTGTGAGCGAAAAAGGTGTCACTCACCCTCATTCCCCGATGCCGAAACGTCTATGAGACGTATCCCGTTATCACTGGAGATATCATGCTTATTATCTTTTCCTATAATCGGATAAAATGCGTCCTCCTTCCCTATTTTCGCAGTCCGATCTCCTAAGACCAGTTTCACGTCATATCTCGGAAATCCATTCACAGCCCTCTCTAGAGTACCGTAACATTGACCCTTCTCTTCCTCTGATTTATCTTATGTCGGCGCATGTACGCTCACCATAGATAATTTAAAATTTTTACCTTTCAGTCTTATCCTACTATATTTTGTCATTAACAGCCCCATAATCGATCACTGCTTGTTTGAGAGTGTTTTTTAGCATAAAACCAGTCCCCAACAGATTACATTTACTGCCACTACTGAAGAGAGTATAGTTATTCAGAGTCACTATATCCACATCTTTCCACCTTATTTCCTGCAGGGCTACGATATCCATTTTATATTTCAAGAGCTCCTCTTCTAACATCCTACTCACTCTTAGCTGAAGCATATTTCCAACTATTATCCGCTACGATCTCTTATTTCTTCTTTAGTTAATTATCAAAGTCTTTCATATTTTATATTTAACTATTTTTCATATCAAAGATTAATGTTAAATGATTATTATTTCCAATAAAAAAAAGGCACTTTAGAGGAAGCCAATATTGAAAATTAACCATTTAAGCCTTAATAGAGAACAAAAATGACAGTAAAACCTACATTATATTAAAAACTGCTTACTAATACACTGATTTTAATCAAAATCGTTAGAGCGTGTGTTAAATCGACTACATAAAGTTTGTCGATTTTGACGAAAATGTAGCTGTAATATCGAAAGCTTATAAAAACATTAAATATGCAATTTCGCCTTTTAAAACTAGGTTCATGGTGCATTACCTTCTTCTCTCTTCCTGAATATCGCCAATCGCAAGCTAATATCTGGCATTAAAGAAACAAGAGAGTACAAGCTAATGAGCAGAAAGTCACAAGATGGGAAAGGAAACGCTGTTACATGTATATTAGTAATAAGATTATGCATAGTTTATTCTATCATGAAATTATGCATACTTTTATACCCTCGCCATAGACAGCACTTGTCTGTAACGCAGGTACATACTCGTAATTTCTCTTACTTCTGTTACAGAAAGACCTAATTTATGTACATAAACAGAAATGAAAATTCTCAGTGTTAACATTAACAAAAAAACCTTATATATATATATATATATATATATATATATATATATATATATATATATATATATATATATATATGAAATCACATCATTTTCGGATCTAATCTTAGTGGCACTCTGCTATTATATGATACATCCTGTAAACTACCAATTAAATTATGAGAATCAAACGTGGAGCTAAGAATATGTTTGACTTTCTTTTGTTTTTAGACATCTGTAAAGTTCTTTTCTTTTCACATAATATAATATTAAATAAATAGCAGTACCTATGTGTCGATTTTTAATGTTATTCCACATACAGGCTCCATATATAGCTGTTGGGTTTAAAGGCCAAAAACTTTTTCGCACATTTTCATTCTTAGCTCTTTGTCTCAAAATGTAATTAGATAAATACATTTAATTATTTTAAAAAAGCTTTATAAAATTAATAGAATTTTAAATTAGTCTAATCTATTTAAAGATGGATCCATTATCAGTTAAAAAATGATTATTCATATCTCTTAGGCTGACTAATCTCTATTCAAGTTTCATCTTGTAGTGAGTCAGTGATAATACCTACTGTCTGTCCTCATTTATTCTTCGAGATATTGTTTAAAACCTCTGAAAACATAGTTCAAGATGAGTATACAGTGGACATTAGTTGCAACTTTTTTATACGCTGAAATAGCTTTAGTTTTGTTATTTGTTTTACCGCTAATTTCCGCTAGAAGATGGAATGCTTTACTTAAATCCCGTTTCCTACAAGTATTATCCAGGCAAGCATTATGGTACTTCGGTCTTATCGTTTTAGTTCTCGTTTTATTTTTGCTGGATTCCATTCGTGAAATGAGGAAATACTCAAGTATGGAACCTCATGAACACTCTCATTTGGAGAATGAACTACAGATCAGTATGAGACTGTTCAGAGCTCAGCGCAATTTCTACATCTCTGGCTTCTCTCTTTTCCTGACTCTTGTCATAAGAAGATTTGTTCAACTTATATCCAAACAAGCAGAATTAGCTGCTGAGAATGAAGCTGTTCTTAAACAGGCTAAATCGGCTAGTGCTGCTGCCCGTTCTTTTATGCAAGGATCAGGGGAAGATGCTCAAAACAGTTCTAATGAAGCACATCAAGTAGAATTAAATAAATTGACAGAAAAAATTGATGCACAAGAAGAGGAGATAGAGCGCTTGAAGAAGGATAAGGATGCTGTCATATCTCAAGCCAAGTCTTTGGAAACGGAATATGACAGGCTCAATGAAGAGCACAGGAAACTACAGCTGAAACTGAAGGTAGAAGGAGAATCTGTCAAAGATAAATAAAACTCAAAGATTTAGCATTTATGGTGGTTTTAAAAAAATATTTTGTTGAATTAATTATTGTGCCTTTATGTAACACATATTTACATTTATGTTTATCTGAGTCTTATTTAGATAGCCAGTAATAGGGTAATTTGATTCAGTTAATCCTTATTTTTCATCTATGTGAGGTGCTCTGCTTGTGAATAATCAATTGTAAATTTCTAAAATTAGATATTTCTCTTTTTTAAAAAGATTTATACTTTTTCATTCAACACAGTAGATTCAAAGTTAATTTCATCTCTTTCGAAAAGTGAAGAATTAAGACAGGTGTTTTTAAAATTGTATTAAATGTTCACCTCTCATGTTTAATGCCTCATATTGAATAACTCAGGTCGTTTAATAAATATTATTTTTTATTGTCAATGATTTCTGGACTGCGGATAGTTTAAATGTGTCATGGACCATTTTAAGAGTTTATGTATGTAATATATAAACAAAATTGTTGATAATTGCCTATCTATTAGGCATATATTTCTGTTACTTGGGACTATTGCACAACATTGTGAGTAGATCATTATTGCAGAATGGGATGTTACCATAATAAAAATTTTGTGATTGAGGAGTATTATCGTGGAAGAAGTTATATTGCATAGGAACTATACATGACTTGTATTATAAAAAACTATTATTTTTAAAATATTTATTCTATTAATTTCTAATGTAATTGTTAATATTCTGTCTTGCTAAAATTACTCATAATTAATAAGACTGGGAAAGATTGTTTTGGGTTATAATTTTGATATTTCTGTATTTATTTTTATTTTTGTTTTCAATAAAAAAGTAGTTTTAAAATTTAAAAAATAATTTGTATTTGCCATGTTTCTTTTCTGTAATGAATGTATTTACCTAACCCTCCTGAAACCTGTTTAACATAAACAAAATCATATCCAACTATTTATGACAAGAATGAAGTTAATAGATTTAGTAAAGTAATTAATTATTTATTATAATTATGATACTTTATTTACAATGGCTCCATATAATTTAGAATATTTCCTTTTTCGACCAATCTCAAGATTAGTTACTAATGAATATATTGGAAGTGCAACCTTGAATTATTTTAAAATAAATTTAACATATTTTTAGAAAACCATTATATGAGTGTAATATAATTATTTCAGTTGCTCAACACTTTTGAAATACTTCATATTTTATATTATTCTAAGAAAAAATCAAGAAAGACAAAGTGCAATAATTATTTATTTTTCTACCAACTACTCAAATTCTTGCCAGTTAAAAAACAAATTTCATTATGAAAATTGTACTGCTGTCTTCTAGATGTTTTTTCTGTTAATTCTATTCCACACAGACTAAATTAATTATGTTGACAAATGATTTATGGATGTCATCAATTTAATTATGGAAGGAGAATAAAACACCACTTTGAAAATAAAACAGTCCTTCCTTTTTTCTCTTATACCGTCGTTGGTCATTTGGCCATCCGACATCTTGCTGCCCAGTATAATTTAGACTTTCTAATATATATATCACAGTCCTTTCTGAAGTTACTTAACTAACAAAAATTCAGTTAGATTTGTTATTAACCTGTACCACTTACAACCCATATCTTGGGTTCCGTACTATGTGAGGAAATATTGTTACAAAGCCAAGGGAGGTGATGGCGCTGATATCACGCTCAACCACCAGGTTTTTCCCCTTAATTAATTTTTTTAATTAAGGATACCCACTTTATAGAGGCTGGGTGTGTGCGAGGAGGGTCGATCGACGGCTAATGAAAAATTACTAGTCATTAGCTGGCTTAGAGCCTAGGATCTTGGGATCTGGAAGTCAGTGCTCACCCACTGAGCTACTCCGCTCTCCTTAGGTGTTTATTAAGGTAACAATTAATTTAGTCGAGTGATTTAATCTTGAACTTAATTTTTGGAGTTTTCCAAACTGTAAAACCATGTTATTGCTTTTAAATCACATTCATAATTATAAAAATTTAAATGAAAAATGTGAACAAATAAATTTAAAATAATTTAAGACAACATTCTACACCATGTTTTAGGCTACAGAGTTAAGGAATCAACAGTGCTAGGAAACGATCTGCTTCATGTGATGAATTACCTTTTATTATTTTTATATTCCTTTATTAAAAAATAATTCAGACAAAAAAGGATTATTCATTGAATACCACTTTTCTAATCCTAATCCTAATCTGGATAAATAAAAAAATAGAGCACCAAAACGGTTTGTTTAAAAAAATATAAGGAGTCAGGAGCTTAAGTTGCATTAGAGGAAAGAAAAACATTGAAAATGGTAAGAGCATTAGCATGATGTAGTGACCTTAATCTTGGGTCTATGGATACCAAGGAGTTCAAATGGGATCCTGGTTGAGTTGGAAGTCTATTTCATGGTAGAACTATGGAATGAATCTAGATCCTTTTATTTATATATTAGAATCGGTTTATGTAAATGTTTTGATATTTAATATAGTTTGTGTTATTTTGAAGTACATACCATGTTTTTGAATCGATAAATAAGATCAATATTAACAAAAATGTGCTTATAGGTGATAAATAGTAATTAGGGTGTACTTATAGATGGTAAACATTAATTAGGGCGCATTCTAAAATTATTCAATAAAAACACTGCTTTATCATAAATAAATTGAAAACACTCATGAGTATTGTTCTTTAGAATGTTTCTTAATTTTTAAAATAAATATATTAATCGGTTGAAAAAGTTGCTTAGTTCTCAATTAAATACAAAAATAATTAAAAGAAATGAGCATTTAGATGAACAGTTCCAACAAATTTTTAAAAAACAACAACTCTGTGACAGACTACGTGACATCGATAAACCCTCAGATGACATCACATTGTTAGATAAACTTGGAAAAACATCTAAATTGACACAAAATCTGTTACCATTTATGCTTATAATTATTGTTTAAAATTGACTAAAAGCTTTTTAAGGTTTTGTAGCAAAAATAGTTGTTACTTTTACCATAAGTAGCAAGAAATGAATTCAATGAAAATACTTTCGAGAAAATAAAAAATCATATGATGTAAGTAGGAATAGAAGAAAATAATGTTTATATCTTACGCATTAAACTTGTCTTTAAGAGTATTATATGTTGAATTCATAAGTGATATACAGTTGTTCAAAAAGAAAATATTCTTTTGAGAAGGAGTTAGTCGAGGGTACGGTCAAATAAATAAAAAATTAAAATATATTAATTATTTTAATTTTTGCCGACGTTTTGACCCACTTTGCAGATCGTCTTCAGGGCGTAGGATGTGGCACTGCGGGAGGCAGCTGAAACACTGGCACTAGTGTTTCAACAATGGCCAGTGTTTCAACTGCCTCCCACAGTGCCACATCCTACGCCCTGAAGACGACCTGCAAAGTGGGTCGAAATGTCGGCAAAAATTAAAATAATTAATATATTTTAATTTTTTATTTATTTGACCGCACCCTCGACTAACTCCTTCTCATATTATATCAACCAATCAATTACAAACCAATCAACCATCTCTACATCATGAAAATATTCTTTGATTATCACTAGCCACTAAGGATTCTTTAAAACAGAACAAACTTAATTCTGCAAATTAATCTTCCAACCCCATTGAAGTAAAAAAAAATGTTAGTTTAATAACAGTATTTTAAATAATATAATATGAAATAAATATCACTACCACATATATTAACATGGATATTATGAAACCAAAAAGAATTACTGGGTTATTGTAAGATATTACAGGGGCATTTTTGCAGTCATCAACAATCCATGGTCATGTAATTGCCTAATTAGAGAAATAATAATAGTACAGTGAAGTACTATTACTGATAAAAATTAGGTCAATAAATGTCAGGATTTGCATTAAAGATACAATAGAACCTTGGTCTATGAAGAAACAGACCAAGCTGCCTACATTGCTAGAACGGAAGAAGCAGCAAATATAACTCCAATGAACGATATATTAGAGGACTGAATACACCAATCAAGGAAGCATCTTTTGGAGTGGTAGCAAAAATAATCCATCAAAATTTTTAGGAACCAAATTGCAAGAATGGACCACAAGCACAAGAAGAAAAGAACTGTTTGTGCCGACTTTGAATCGGAAACCCTCACTTACACCTTCTCAGAGGTCTAGAAGTACCCACACGCCAAAAGTGTAATGGCATAAATACACCTTAAACAGTCAAACACTTGTTACAAAATTGTTCCCGATTCGAAATCGGACAAAAATAAAAAGCAGTGAAAAACAAACGAAAATGTTGAAAGATAAAGAAGCGACAATCCTCACTCTGCTCCAATTCCTAGAATAAATAATACAATAGATTATAAAGATGATACACCCATAATACAACTGATTATAGACGATACACCTCGACACCAATAATACAATAGATTATAATGACGATATACCTTGATGCCAATGAATTTTTTTAATTTTAAGGCTTCAATCACTAGGGTCATTATTGCTTTATTTTCATTGAGAATTAGATTGGATTTTCAAGTTTAGAACATTTCAGAAAAGAAAATAACTTCTCAATCTCATTCGTATTGTCCTGTAAAATGAAGTGTAGATCGTTTATCAAGTCACAAGATAGTCTAAATGTTTCATAAGCTCTGCATTCAGTTAAAAAGTGTTTCACTGTCAGAGGAGTCCCACAGGTTTGGCATGTTGGCGAAGAATCACGGACCATCAGGTATCCATGAGTAAGGTGTGTATGACCTATATGCAGGCACCTAAGAATTACTTCCACTCTGCGGTTATTCCTATTTGATGATGGCCAAGAGGAAAGGTCACCCTACAGATCTACAGGAGAGATTTTTCCTTTTCTTTCAATCTATCCTGTAGATCTGTAGAAGTATGTTCACATTTGCATTTATTATATATTACACTACAACAATTGTTAGCATCTATTTACTTCAGTTTATGATCTTGTTACTTAGCTTACTCTGTTCATATTTTAATGAACTTACTGTTTATAATTTCCATAAGCTTATTCACATTGTTTATAATTTTTGTCTAAATATTATGTAACTGCCACAATTCTCTACCTTTTTGTATCTTGTCCGTTCTAGCCCTGAAGAAGACCTGCAAAGTCGGGTCGAAACATCGGCTTTTAATAAAATAGTTTTACCACTATTTATGACCGCCACCCCGGACCATCTCCCTCCTTTATAATGCGACGGTCAGCTATTAAATATTCAATATAACATTTAAACATTTATGTATTGCAACCAATTCAGCCAACCAATTATTATATAGTGGTGAAAGAGAAAAAAATATGTTGTCATTCGTTACATATAACTGATGCTCCACGCCTGCGGAGCTCTTCGAGCCGTCAGTGTAAATAAAGTCAGAATCACCTAGTCTATCCTGAAGTTTAAGAAATCCCTGTTTACATATATAAGGCATTGTGTTGTTTTAAATAAATTTGGTGAGAGAAAGAAGAATTTTTGGAGTGGAAAGTCCCCAAGGATAAATTGGCGAAACTGCAGTTTCTTGAAAAATAGGAAGTTCAATATTTATATTATTTAGTAAAGTTGAAACTCTGATTGTAAAGGGTGTTCTATTTGGTAATTGAGTTTGTTGTTGATTTATGTATTGTGTATTTAAAAATAAATCAGTCAGTGGATGATTAGAAGCAGAACGGATCTTAACAAGTAAATAAGATCAAGTTTTTGTCTCCGTATGTTGAGCGGAAGCTCGCCAGCTTCGACACATAGGCTATTTGCAGGACTGGATAGGAAAGCACCGGTGTTTTCTACAGGATCTACAATTTTTAAAATGGTACTCGATGCCAATTTGTAGGCATTACAGCCATAGTCCAATTTCGATCTAGTGTCCTATACAGGGTTAGCATGCTTTTTCGATCGGCACCCCAGCTAGTGTTACTGACTATTCTTAAGAGATTCAAGGAGTGGAGGCAATTAGCTTTTAATTGTTCAACATGCTGAGTCCATCTGAGTGTTCTACCAAAAGTCATTCTTCTAGGTTTTAAACATTGAATGTCAAATATTGAAAATATTATTGGTGTAATAATAACATATTTTTTACAAAACAAATTTTTAAAAAATCAAGTTGTTTTATTAGCAGATATGATATTAACAGATATTGCATACACATAAATAAAAATGAATATGGAAAATATATCAATGATAATTAAATGATAGTATTAAAATTATTGGGACAACAGCGGCTTATCATCTTTGTATTTATGGTAGAGTTCCAAACAATCTTGTTGAGAAATGACTTCCCATCCAGTCGATTTCATGTGGTAAACTGCAATTAAAAATGAAATTAATTATTTAATACATAAACTATGAAAAAAAAATTTGAATTTAAAAAACCCAATTATATAAATTGGGAAAATCTCACCCCAAGGTACAGAATTCCATACCTACTTAAACATCTTGGAAGATTGGCATCTCCGAATATTTAAATTTGGGTAATAGTCTAGTGCTTTTCAATACACATTACAGCTCCAGGCAAATAGATTTCATCCCATGTATTGGTGCATGTAAACAACAGAGTCTTGAGTTTAGTTCAGAAGTGGTAGGCACCTGACTACTATACAAAGTTTAATGTCAATTTCCCAATGATGTTGAACCATGATGTTGAAGTAGACATGGAAGTACATTCCCTTAGAAGTGATAACATTTTCTAATCTCTGTAGTCGGAATTTTTTTTTTAATTCAAATATTTTTAGAATTTAAAATAATGAAAATTTATTTTCATAACATGCAGTCACATGATATCATTTCAAATCAATTAATAATTGAGATACTTAAACTATGATAACAGTTTTTATTCCAGTATTTTTTGCTCAAATTGTTTCAAAACATTCACGGGATAATTGAGTAATAACTCACTGAGTAATTAAATAACGTCAAAGTTAGAAATTAGCGAAGCCATTCCCTCAAAATATCGTTACTTACCTTTCAGCAAATTGACTAAACACATTTTATTCAACAATCAATTGCAACCTCCTTTCATTCGAAAAACTGTTATATACTTATAGTGGACAACCAAAACCCATAAAACTTGTATCACTTGCCTTTCAAAACACTCAGTGAATCCCACCAAACAATTTAAGATATCAAGCTTAAAAATCGATCCACCCGTTCGCTCATAAAATTGTTACATAGCTTTTAGCTAATTGATTAAACACATTTTATTCAATCTCTGGTCAGTGTTTTTACAAGACAGTGTCAGCCAAAATTATTTCAAAACACTCAGATCTAACTGAATAATTTAAGATATCAAACTTATAAATCAATACAACCATTGGCCTGGAGAATCGTTACATACCTTTTTGCAAATTGATTTAACACATTTTACTCAATCACGGGTCAGTATTTCTATCACACTATTTGTTTCAAAACATTCAGTGGATCTCGTCGATTACTTTGAGTCATCAAACTTCAAAATTAATCCATCCATTCGCTCAAAAAAGCGTTACATGGATTTTAGCGGACAACCCAAACATACAATCTTTGTGTCACTTCGCTTAGTCGGGTAATAAAATAATATATAAAAAGTTTAGCACATTCTCTATTATAAAGTCAAATGATAATGTAGTATTGTAAATGACTGTATAATATAAGTTATATAAAAACATGTTAATCTCATTACCTCTAATAATGCCACCAGAGTAAGAGTCTCGATAAGTAGCATGATAAATGGATCTTCGGGCCAGCTCATAAGCATCATTGTCTTCTAAATCAAATGAATAACCAGAGTCGAGAACACCAAAGGCATAGACTGAACCTGAACCGACACTGTAAACTTTGCCTTTTGTTCTTTGACCTTCAGAATCGACATAATACAGGCTAGGACCCTGAAAAGTACAAACAAACTAATAATAAAAATATCTAACAATTATCATAAAAGATATGAAATTATTTTTACATTTTTATCGTAACCAGCAATCATCATGCCCATTGACAATCCCATTCCTTTATATGAAAATGCCATGTTGGCCATGAGTTTTGAAGCTGCTGCTGTGGAAATGCGACTCTTATTCCGTAGCTCGTAGAGGCGGCATTGTTTTGCAAGCACCCTATCCCAATAAACACAATCAGCAGCACCACCAGCCATAGTACCAACCAAATATTTATGGATTTCAATTATTTTCTTCATTGACTGAGAACCTAAAACATTATTGATTTGATAAATAATAATAACAACATAACACTAACTTTATTTAAAATAAATATGGAAAACGACAAAAAACTACAAAGATACCTCAATAACTATCTGAGGGATAATTAATAGATATATCATTAGGATAATTGATATGTTTTTTTCTTCATAAAGAATAATTAACTGATAATGATTCTGGATCTATTCTTGAAACTTATCTAACATTTTACATTGTCAAACACTAATTAAATTAAATTCTAAAGATAAAAAAATAAATTATAAGGATTTTTAGTAAAAATATCTTTAATGAGTTAGTCGACACTTCTACCAAAGCAATGTTGGTCATCATCAGACTAAAATAAATTCAATATTTTTATAAACTTTGTTCTCTATTATTTATTATATGTGTAGCAAATGTTCTTAAAATCACACTAGAAATGGAATTCTGAGAACAGCCAAGAATTGACATGTTGGCGGTATAACCTCCCTTTATCTAGATTGTGATTTATAAGTTCCATAAACTCTTAACTGGTTCATGTCAGTTAAAATCGGAGATTTAATTATATTGCCAAATTCAACTTCTGCTCACTCAATTGGACCGCAACAGGTCTTTTTAAGTTGAGTTCGGTACCTTAACAGGTGGTTTAGTTACTTTAGATTACTTTTGGACACACTCGACCGTTCTCAAAATTCTGATTACAGTATGATCATGGGGTCTTGTGCCATTGTTTCAAAGAGGAGCAACATCTGTATAATAGCGGTAGAAGGGTAATACTTTACAAATGTTGCTCCATTTTGATGTATGGACACATCTCAGGGGCACACAAAGATTTTGATAGTTACTAAATGCAGACAGGTGATGCCTATTGGTGTTATCAAAATTAAACAGCCTATTATAGATAATGCCTGTTAGTGTTATCAAAATCAAATAGCCTATTAAAATTTATTTTTAATACAAAAATAACCTTAAGATTTAGTTGCACAAAGAAATTAGGTACAACTTTACAAGTGTTGCTCCACTTTCATGATGGGCATTATATCTTATGATCACACTATATATACATAGTTCGCAGTGTGGCCGAATATTGACAATGGATTTACAGGGTAACGTTTATCATTATCCAAATTGTCCTTTTCAGTTAAAATCTGGGCCTTAATTACATCAATGCTTTCAACTTCAGATACTCAAAAGGGATAAACAAACCCCCTATGCATTATTTTCAGTTGATTAATCAGCATACTGTAATGGTTCAGTCACCTTTCTAAATTTGGTGACTATCAAAATTATACAATGATCCCGAGAATTTATGCCCGTACATCAAAATGGAGCAACATTAGTAAAGTAGTATAGTGTGTCTAAGATAAGTTTGCCGGTTGGGGAAGGGAGGTCGTGCAGCCTTTTCCCTCTCAAGTTCCACCTCCCCTCTTCACACTAGTTATCACCTTATACTGGGAATGCGTTTTTTTTTTTCAATGTTCAATTTTCTTCTAAATTCGCAAAAGAAATGAAAAAAAAAATAGTGAAAGAAATTTCAACTTGTAAACAAAATTATAGAAGTACATTCAAATGAGTGAAGACATAAGAGTCGAGGATCAGCAGGAAAACGATTTGTCAATGCACACTTGTCCACAGTCATACTTACCTTAGACAGACTCTACCCTTGATTAAATTGTATTATGTTTGTCATTTAAACAACATTCTTTTTTACAATAACTAATAAACAAAATTTTGATGTACATACTTTCTTAAAAAATATTGTTTTTCAACTAAAGAACTAGAATAGTTCAACGTAATGAATAAGAAAAAGAATCGTAAACTTTTATAATTGAAATTATTAAATTCACATAATTAACACTCAGTAGCACTAACTTACCAATGTACTGCCCACCAGTTGCTCTTGAATCTACAGCTAAAATAACACCGTTTTTGTAAACAAATCCCAGAGTTGTAGTACCATGATCAAAATTTATTTTAATTTTTCTTCCACATTCCTCTGATTCAAAATTCGTCCTGCTAGATAATGGCTAAAACATGAAACATAATGTTACATATACCATATAATTTAAGTTATAATTGAAGAAGGCACAAGTATCCAAGAAATTTACATTGGCCAAAGGTGGTAGAGATAATTGTAATTGATTATTAAAACTATTAATAACAAAATCTCCCTTGCCCTCCTCTTCAGCCGCAAATGGATGGACAAAACTTTCTTTAACGCCTAATAAAGCTTCTAAAGCCATGGTTGCAGAGTATTACTAAGCTAAAAGAACAGTAAGTTGTGTGACAAAGCAGAAATCCCTTCGAAACCACAACTACTACCTCCTAACAACACCGTAGAAGTAGGATGTTGCTATTGATACCACCGCCCAAGCTCCTTCTATTCCAAAGCCGTTACGTCATCAGAATGCCTCCACCATAATAACAGTAAAATGCAACTAAAAAGCTTTAACGAGGATTGAAGCTGACATATATTTAGCCTAGTCCCAGAACCAGCGGATAGGGATGGTAACAAGACCCATGGGACAGGGGTCTGGGAATTGTTATGGCCCAATGAAAATTGGAAGATTCTGCAATTAAAGTTTTATTGATTATTTAAAATGATAGATGGTTTTATAAGTTATAAGTTATCTCAAAGCCCTGTAAATGGAGGCCGTGATGGGCGAGAGTATCAAGGCGTCACTTTAGCAGCCTCTAGTCTAACGGTGCTGGATCGAATACGGCCAAGGCCACTTAAAAATTATTTTGTAGTGGACCGATGGAATAAATTTCGATCAATCTAATTATAATAGGTTGATTACTTGTAGGATAAACCTCCTACATCCCATAAGCCAGAAATGGTCAGGTGGAGGGAAAAAGATGTTAAAAATTTAAATATAAATTTAGGTATACTGTATAAAACAGTGCCGGCCTTAGACATTCCCTGCCTTCCCAATGCCGTCTCCCTCTTCCTAAAAAATTTAATTTATTCCTTAAACTGTTTTTTATTAGGTAATATTTGAATATTATTTAATTCAACATTTCTGTTGCTTTGGTGATCGGTTAAAAGTAATTATTTTAATACATTTTGTAATTTCTGTTTATTTCTTACGAGTGGCGAGCGCTCCTAAACACCGCTTGGCACCCTAACTCAGATAGAATAAAAGGGGAGCATCGGCAGGTCGGTGCCCTGGGGCGATTGCCCTGGTTGCTCCACCCTAAGGCTGGTGCAGGTATAAAATATCTACTGTCATGATCTAATAAGACCATGATAGTAGAAAATTGTTTTATTTTTCGATTTCAAAGCATTCTATATTCCAGAAATTGTAAAAATGACGAACTGGGAATTTTGGAGAACTTAATTTAATTGGCGAAGGAAATACTAAATCTGGATACAATAAGAAGTATCTGAAGCCTTCAAGGATAAAACATACATCAGACAGGAAGATGGACCATGGCCGATGTTGTTTAACTTAATGCTGGAGAAGGTACTAAGAACACCACGTGAAAATTAAAAGGTACGCGTCTCAATAAAACATAAATTTCTAGAATATGTGGACGATATAGCGATTACCTAGAGTAATCAATAGGCTATTGAAAAGTTGACTGAAGATTGGTAAGAGAAAAGGAACAAACAAGTCCACAAATAAATGAAGATAGAATAAAACATATGTTAGTAAGCCGAAAAATTCACCCTAGTAACATGATCTTTGCAGATAGCAAATGTTTCCCGATAGCAGACTGATTCAAATATACAATAACATCAACAAATGACCAACTATCAGAGATAAACTTAAGTATAACAATAATCATGGGTGTACCATGTCTTGATAAAGCCAGGCTGATATACGGTAGCGAGACGTGGTCACTAACCGACAACCAGTCGACCATAAATGGATTGATCTCGGACAAGCAGAGTCTTAAATCAAGGTGGAGAAGAAACAATAAAGAACTACTTACGGAAACTGTTTATAATCGATTAGCAATTATCTGGATTCGCTTATCACACACCACATTTATTCAACACTTTAGGAAGTATATTAATTTACAAAATAAGGAATGGTAATAAATTAATTTTTTAAAAATAAATTTTACAACCATATCCCATAAAGGGTCTTATTTAACTATCATGGAAGAAAGTACTGTTTCTTGGTCAATGGTTGTGCAAGGGGGTGATTTGAACGAGATCATGCACAACTGCCAGGTTTTTAGGTTCATATTATATATTTAATTTTGAGTACCACTTTATAGAGGTCGTGCGAGCCCTGGTAAGTTTTTTAGATCCCAGTTTCGAACCACGTCGACGTCACAAGATAAATAATTGTCTTCCGTAGATACTAACCATAGGAAAACAGTTATACTCTCCATGGGGGTGGGGTGACCGATTGGGCTAATGAGTGTGCACAAAACGCGCTATCCTCAGGCAGTTTGATAAACTGAAAATAAGATAATAAATTAATTATGAGCTAGCGTTCCGGTGCCGGGAAGGACTATTAGCTCCGCCATTAATACTCCTCTCTCTCCTCTGGCTCGAGAAAAACACCGTATAGCCTGAAATGTGAGGAAGTAGAAGACAAAATAAAAAACCGACAAAAGTTTATTTTGTACTCACTAGTTTCCCTACCAATCAATAAATTATGATTGTGTTCTTAAAATATTTGGATTTTGAATTGAAAATACTCTCAAAGGCGAAGAATAAAAAAACAAAACAGAATTTCAAACGAATTACTGCTGTTACAACCTCTTAATCAAGAACAATCCACCATAGAGGTAATAAGAGACAACTCATCCCTAATTCCTAGCTCCATATTGTAGCTCACTAGCTACAATTTACGCTGTGATAACAGGAAGGTTATATATTTGATAGTGGGAAGAGGGTTTCGTTATTGAAATAATGAAATGTTCACTATTTTAATCGTGTAGTTCATCTTATTTTAAAATGGCATTTTCTTTATTACCAAGAAGATTCTTGAAGTATTTTTTTTATTTTTTGAATTTTATAGTGAACCTGGATCTTGTGGTTTTATTTTAAATTATTTTAAGGTTTCTCTGGAATGAAGAAAGTGTTAGAAGGATATCTGTTAGCTCTGTGAGGTTTAATGAAGATGAATCTAACAAAAAATCATCAGCTGCTGATAAGTTACATTCACTTTTACAGGATATTATTAAGGTCACTTAGTTATAAATTTTTTGTTATAATGCTGAATTTAGTGCAATTAATACTGCTTTGTTTGATAGATTTAGAGCTGAGTCATCAGACTCTATCAAGCATATATTTTGATCTTAAGAATTAATTGAATTATTTGATCCATATAAATTTTCAGGATGAAACACTAATTAAAGAAAATATAGTAAAGGCAACTGCTGAGCCTGTTATTGTGCCGGTAAAAAAGAAACGTCCTGAGAAACCAAAGAATTTAGGTATCTGGTATATAATATTTTAATTTTATGAAAATGCTATATGGCTAATATTTCTCTCCTATTTAATTTTCAAAGTCCATCTGGAGAGTGATATTGATTACTCTCTGACCTTGATCGCTCTGCTTCCATGTTGGAATGACACTTTTGGTGTAGTACTATTGGTCATTTGATACATAGATACCTCCCAGTTCTGTGGCCTAGATACCTAGATACCTCCCAGTCGACAATTGACCATTGTCGAGAACCAGTACTGCACTGGTCATCCATCATGGACTGCAGTGAGCCATCTGTCTTTTTATTTCTTGCGTTTATATTTAAGAATTACTTATTTTTATTTGTTCCTTATTACTGCTCAGTTTTCCGAAATATTATTAATGCAATGAATTTAAAAGTTATTTATTTATAATGGAAAATGGATTGCTAAATGGATTAGATTATATCTTCAGTTTTTTTTTGCCTAACTTTACAGAATCTTTAAAATTTACAACTGTGAGTATTTAATTATTTTTCTTTTTGAATAATTTAGGTGAAAAAATTGTTGATTCGGCAAAAGAAGTTGCCAAAGGTTTAGAAGGAAAGCCTGAAGAAACAGAAGCGCAACTTCTTCATCGGGTACTTTTTAAAAACAAGCCTCTTGCAGAAAGTGTTACAAAAGCTGCTGCAAACGATACATTGAAGTAAGAATATTAAAAACTCTGTTTTATTACTGATAGTAATTATATTATCCTATGATATTCATCACCTTAATTTGTAAATTGTTTGGTGTAGAACAGTTAACATGGAAAAATCAAAAGTTTTATTTTATAATCAAACCATTTTTTTTTTTTTTTTTTAAGTGTGAAAGTTAGTAGTTTGTTTTTTCCTTAAAATTGATCTAAGTTTTGTGTTAAAATATTATAAGTTGATAGATAGCACGTTGTTTTGATAATTTTTTATTGTATTCTTTTTCAGGGAGCTTCTTTCAGGAATGGATGTTGAAAGAACTCCAACAGTACAAAAAAAAAAAGCAATGGATGAAACAGGAATTAGTCGAGCTGAACAGATTCGAATGGATTTAAAAAAGAAACCATTCTTCAGGCCTTCAAGAGGACCGTAAGTAATTTTATCTGAAGCCCTTTTCAATTATTCATATCCTATTGGAGCTAATTAATTTTTTTTTTAGTTATATTATTTTCTATAATATACAATTGATGAATTTTTTCCATGTGGACGTATATATGTTAATGTATAGTAGTAAATTGATAAAAACAAATCAAGAATAATTCACTATTTTATTACCTGATAAAGCGAAGCGATACAAGAGTCATGTGTTTGGGTGTCCACTAAAAACTATGTAACACTTTTGAGCGAACTGCTGGATGGGTTTTAAGTTTGAGGACTCAAATTATTTGGTGAGATCCCCTGAGTGTTTCTAAACAATTGAGATTAAAATACTGACCAGTCATTAAATAGCATGCGTTTTATCAATTTTCAAAAAGCTTTGTATCGTTGTTTTGGGCGAGTGGCTGGATTAATTTTTATTTTTGATGGCTCAAATTATTCAGTGAGATTCCGTGTTTGTTATGAAATAATTTGAGCTCGAAATTCTGTCAAATTACTGTGTAAAGTGTGCTTAATCAATCTGCTAAAAGATACATGAATATTTTTTGAGCGGATGACATGATCGATTTTTAACTTTAACGGCTATAATTACTCGGTTAGATCCTGTGAATGTTTTGAAACAATTTGAGTTCAAAATACTGAAAGCAAATTTGATTATAGTTTAAAAATCTCGATTATTAATTAATTTGAAATGATATCATGTGATCATATGTTAGGAAAATAAATTGTTATTATTTTATAAAGGCCATTTATTAAAAAAGAAATGGTAAATGAACTAAAGATCGCTCAAAATGAAGAATGGAACAGACTTTGCACAAATATTAACAGTCAAATAAGATATTAAAGGTTAACAACTGCATGGGCAATGCTGAAGAGTATGAGGACTCAGGCAACACACAAGTCAAACCTTAATCTGATCAACATACCCGAATGGAAAAACTATTTTAATGGTCTCATGAAAGAAGACAGACAGAGACTCATTCAGGGAACACTCCAGCTGGGTGTATGAATGGACAGATATGACTGTTGGTGAAAATCAGGTCGAAATGGAACTCAAGCTAGGGAAGAATAATAAAGCCACCAGGGCCAGGTGAAATTAATTTCGAGCTTTTAAAATATGGAGGGAAAAAAGTGGCAAAACTATTAACAAATATCTATAATAGAATATTGGAGGGTGATCCAATACCAAAAGAAATGAAGCTCGGTTACATCAGCCCAATCTATAAAAAAGGGGACAGAAAAAAATTCAAAAACTACTAAGGAATCTGTGTTACTAACCCTTTTGCCAAAATATTAGGGAAACTTATAAGAAACGAATTAGAGCATGGGTTTAAGGGTTCAGAAGACCAATGTGGATTTACAGCGAGAAGATCATGCATTGACTATATATTCATCCTAAGGCAATTTTTGGAGAAACATCAAGCCGTTCCCAGAGACTTTGAACTAATATTTATAGACCTGGAGAAGGTGTATGTATGTCTAGATGGCCCCCATATAAATTTTATTAAATTCTAACCAGCACTTCCGCTTACGCTTGGGCAAATGCATTTTTGTAAATATGCCAATATTTCAGAAACTGTTCGATTTGTTTCAAAGTTGGATAAAAGGTAGGTATTTGTGAAAAAATAATGTAAGGTCAATTTTATTCAATTCTGGCCGTTGCTTTCTCTTATATATGTGCAAATGTGTTTTCCTCGATACGTCTTTATCTCTAAAACCACAAGTTCTATTTGACTCAAATTTGGAGGGAATTTAGGGATTGGTAAACGTAAAATGAAATAGGCATCAATTTTATCAAATTCTATCTCCTACTCTAAAAAAAAAATACTTCCGCTTTTAGATCAGAAAATTTATGATTTCATATGCCTATAGTTTGAAAACGGTGCATTTGATTTGACCCAAACTTAAGGAAATTTGCAGAACAATATAGAAATTACTTCCATTTAATAATTAAAATTAATATAAAAATAGTTAACAATATAATGGCTGTTAAATGTTGAAGGCACTGATCATATAGAGTGAGAATTAGGTTATTACAATATCGTTATGGGATTATAAAATTTTAGGTTTTATTAAAAAAGTTAATTGATACTATATTGTTTGATCGATTCCAAACGTTACTATCATGACACTTATTACCGTTACTTAGATTTCGTGTAATTTTCATTAAATTTAAAGTAATTTTTACTCTGAATTATTAAACAAAAAAGTCTTATTTGTGATTGTATTTATTTTCATTGAAGTTCAACAAGTTCGTCTTGGTCTAGATTTCCTTCTTAAATATCGAGGTTATGTGAACTTTATCCATATTTTTATATTCAAGCTTAATTAGTTTTGTTCTGACTGAAGAAAAGTATTGGTCTCGTTAACTCCGAACAAACAATAAGTTGAATTTTTCCTATGGATTTTCTAGTTGCATCCATTTTACGAACTGAAAACGTAGCTATTAAATATTACCACTATTCACTACTCACTACTATTAGTGTAAAAGGTCGGATGTAAAAATTTTCAACTTTTATTTTATTTTTGCTAAAGGTGACATTTATTATTATATTAGTCTGCAACTGATATAAGTAGTCTGCTACTATGAAAATTAGCTGAGGACAATAAAATATGAAATTATACCAATAAAGCATAAAGAAATAATGAGTTTTTACATACAACGTTTTGCACTATCAGTACTGAAATGCATGTTCAGTATGAATTGGTTTTTTTTTTTTTTAATCAAGATAACCAATATGGAATCTTCAAATATCCTCAAAGGCCTGGCCCTCTTTCGCATTTCAATATTAGCTAGTAAACGAAATTCGTAGATATCGAACCCACGAATGTTGAAGGGTTACTGTAATTCCGAATCGGCTTCTCCCAGAGATTTTATTCTCATACGAAAAATTGTATACTATTGTAATATAGATATATTTCAGCCAAAGAAAACGGTGATGAAGCTATACTAACTTTACTTGGCAGACTTTTTTTTAACAGTTTTAATACTGCTTCATTTGAAATATGAAAATATTAGGCAAGAAACCTGAATATGTGTATCAATCAATGGAGCCAGAAGACCTGCCTATTATATATCATAATATTAATTCTGAACAGTCTTGGGTATAGGGATGTCTTGCTAACAACAGTTGGTTGCTATAGGGATGTTTTGCTAACAACAGTTGGTTTCTATAGGGATGTCTTGCTAACAACAGTTGGTTTGCTAGGCAATAAAAATGATATCCTGGAAAGATGGAAGAATCACCTCATTTCTGTAGATGTGGAATGCATATTTGGTTCTGGGTACAACCCAATGTACATTATCTAAGTTCCTTAGGTGTTGGTAAAGAATATATTAAATTAGAAGTGCCCATACAATGGAAAAGCTCAGACTCTCTGGGAAGTGGGAATTACGCTTTTATCTTAAGAGTGTCTCATATAGAATAAAAACTGAGCTGGATTGCTGCATATGCAAGTTGAGAAGACCTGAAACGCTTGCTGATATTCTTGTCGAATGTCACGTGATAAGTCTGCCCAGATTGGTTTTTATCAGAACATTAAAATAGCGAATGATGAGCGTAGACTGCCACTCTTGCTTGCATCATCTAATAAGGATATAATATTCCAACTGTTGATTTATTGAAGAGGCTCTCAAAATTAGATCGATTATTTTGTATGAATAGGGAGCTTTAACGTATTATTGTTTGTAATACATTATGCATATGAATTTTCATAGAGGAATTTCCTGTTAGCTTCTGGGCTAGGGCCCATCATGAAATCTGATTATCTTGTCTATTGTGCCAGTAATGTAAACATATTATTATTGTATGGTATTGTTGTTGCATATATTATATAAAATATATGTATAATAATATTAGCAATGTGTTGGTACTGTTCTATACAAAATACAGAACTCTTCTATCTTTATTGACCGTACCTTCCGATCTATTCCTTCTCAAATTATAATCACAGTCAACCATCTCCACACCATTAAAAAAAAAGTTAATTTTGATATTAAAAGTATTTTAATTTTTTTTATGAACTACAACTTAGTTTTTTGTGGTTGCAACTTCATGATTATATTTATAAATATAGTGATTTTTATAAAGAATATTTAAAAATTAGAATTTGCCACCAATTAAAATACATTGAGTGGGGAAGAAGGTGGTGGATACAACCCACATCTTCAATGTAGAGATGGCGATTTTAATCATTATTGGAAAATAACTAGGGGTATTGGTTACTGCGTTTTTTTTCACTGGCCCGTTATAAATCCTGAAAATAACCTGTTATGGAAATAACTGGATTTCAGTATTTGGCTTTTTTTTTAGGGACAAATTTTCTTATTTGAGAGGAGAAAATAGAATAACTGGTATATCAGTTTTTTAGTTTAAAAAAAATCCTAATATATGACATTATAGTAAAATAAAATATTCTTTTCTTGATCAATATGCTAATAATAAAGGAAATGTAATCAATATTATAAGCAATTTTGTGTGTGATTGCACGAATAGATTTGAACAGAGAGTTTGGTGTGCTTACTGAAGTTATCTAAAAACTACTTGTGTATGGAAGGGCTGTTTTTTCTCATGGCTTGTTAAGAGATGTTCACTAAATGTCACATTTACAATTAAAATAATTTTTACATGGCAATTTTATAGTATTGTTGGAGAAAAAATCAACATATTTGGCGAGAAACCTCTTGGCATATTTAAAGCTGATGAGCTGAAGGAAATTGAAGAGCCTTTGACAACATGGGAAGCAATGGAGAAGAGAGAACTTCAGTTACTCGTCAGCCACCCTCCTTCTAATATTTACGAACAGATGATACAATGGACAGAGAAGGGTATCTTATGGAAATTTCCCATCAACAATGAGCAAGGTTTGTCTATTATTATTGTTAAATGGGATAAATATCTTGTGCTGTCTATGTTTTTATATTGAGATTCACTAGTCAAAGGTTTAGATTATTAAGACTTGTATCTTGCAGATCATGTCATTAATCCATCCAACTCACTAGTTGTCAATTAATATTATATGTTGTGAATTAAATAATTTAATTTGGACATGGTCATGTAATTGATTGTTAAAATCTTGAGGATGAAAACACAGTCATTTTATTCTTTATTAGGTTTGCCGATGTTTCGATCCAAGCGTGTGGATCATCAGGGCAATGGTAACTGGCTAGGCTGAAATTCTTGGGTTAGTCTAACTATTAATCTTTCCTCTGATGATGACCTACACGTTGCGTCAAAACGTTGCCAAACCTAACAGTCAATAAAATGACTATGTTTCCTCACTATTGGTCATTCTCCTAAATAATTTAATATTAAACAATTAAATACATTGAGGCCCAAAAAACTCCGTCATAATGTACCTGGAGTTTAGTTAATATTAATTTTTCCATGGAGTGAAAAAGGATGTTGTTTTAGCTATGTGTGGTGTACATATTAATTTGATAGGAGACAGAAGAAAAAAACAATAAAATATTTATAAATTTTGCCATGAAATTCAAAATTAAAACTGAATTTAAAAATCTATTATCTAGTATCTATTACTGACTGTTGCATCCTCTTGCTTGATTGATGGCTTGCATTTTTGTAGGGATACTACAATTTAAGATAGCAACTCTTCCTTGAAAAATCTGTTCCCATCCCTCTGGAGGTCATGAGGAGGGTCTCGCTATTGTCGGCTGAAACTCCTATCCTCGATGCTCTATGAGATTGAGGGCTGTCACTTGAGCTAGCCACTTACTCTCTGACAACATGTACCACATATTCGTCGAGGATATCCACGATGTACATTTGCATGTTGAGCTTTTTTTTTTCCTACCTGGCATTGCTGCCAATAAACGACACTTTATTGATCATATTTCATACTTACATGGTATTTAGGAATGTTTAATTTTGGGTACAATAAATTGGCTTAGCTGTGTAGCGGCCTAGTACGCGGTTGTGCACCTTACTGGTGGTGGGAGCCGCACTCATCTTTTTTTTTTTTCCTGTTCTTCCCTACCTCGCCTTTTAGGCTATACGGGATTTTCCCATGCTGGGGGGGGGGTGAGGGCGGGAAATTTAAAATCCCCTCCGGCACCGGGACGCGAACTCGTACTTTTTAATCTCTCAAATCTGTAATCCGGTTGCCAGGCAACTCGCGGTGCTGGGCAACTTTAGCCCATTCGGCCACCCCGCCCTCTAGGCTGCACCTTATATATTTTCCAGCTTCCAACTTCCTTGTCCGTATCTGACCGGTCCTTCAGTCTCTGTCTGCTACCTCCTTCCACACATACATAAACCCCTGAAGGAACGGAACAGGTAGTTTTCCTCTTTTACTAGGTGGATCAAATCCGCTTCCTGGGTGAGGCCCATTTTCCTCATCAATCTTGCACAGTGTCCCTCAATTGTGGTGCTGTATACTATAAGATGTGTTGTGCTGCTCAGGGACTCCGCAGGGAGGGCACCGGGCTTCAATATCCTTCCCATTTTTAATCTGTTTATATATGATGAAGTGGTCCTTGGCTTGGTCTGATGCCCTTACCGAGGCTTCCTGAAATAGTAGCCTCTGGCCTCATAATTTATAATACCACATAGCTTGTTTTATTCTTGATTGATACAATTATTGAAGCAACTACATTGGCAACCTATACCATTTAAAAAAAGTTATACTGTTTTCTAATTAAAGAAACCAAAGCACAGAGGTAACTATAGCACACATCTATAGAATCTAATTATTTTATTTACAACTTTTGGACATTTATTACTAATCCAAGAAAAATTACTTCAAAGGAGGATTGTAATGTAAATATATAAACTCTGTTTTGTTTTGTCAAATATCTCATGCATAGTTATTTTCAATTAATATTTAGGTCTAGAAGAGGAAGAAACTTCGGATTTTACTGAACACATATTTCTTGAAAATCATCTGGAAGATTGGTGCCCTGAAAAGGGTCCTATTAGACACTTCATGGAGCTAGTCTGCGTTGGACTGTCCCGTAACCACTGGATCACGGCTGAGGAGAAGAAACAGCATATCCTATGGTATAGGGATTACTTCTCTAAGAAAAAGGCTTTGTTGCAAGAATTAGAATTAGGTGAAATAAAAGCTATTAGTGCAAATTAGTTTTGTTATGTTTTTGTCTTTAAGTAATAATTATATTTATATTTATTGTAAATAAATAATATAAAAGTTTTTTCAATTTTTTTTTCTTTTTTAAACTCTACTTAGACAAAAGAATTACCTGGAACATACATACTAAATTAAAAAGACAAGAACTGATTATACGACATAACTAACTCACATCTTCAGGACTACAGATGCTCACTTAACTTATGAAACAAGCGACTGATCTACAACACCATACTGAGACCAATTAGTACATATGGAGCAGAACTTAGGAGTTTGGCAAAACCAACACACATAAATAAAATACAAGCAACAGAATAAAAAATTCTATGAAAAATTGTCAATGCACCTTGGTACATTTCAAATAACACTGTACATAACGACTTGAACACCCCAACAGTAAAATTCTACATCCATGACAAATACACTTCATTTCATTCTTTAACTCAAAATCATTTCAATCCATTAGCCCTTTCTGTTTCCTCCTCCATATTACCTGATCGACGCAAAAAGAAAATGGCTAAGGGGCCTACTATAACAATAAAATGAAAGCTAACCAAGCAAACACGCAGCTAATGCCTAATACATAAAATTTTCTAGGTGCGCTGTAGAGCATGTGCAAATGGCTTAGAATGTTTAAATAAAATTTCACTTTATCAGTATTCCATCTTGTTTATTTCCCAAGAATATTTATCGTTGCGACTCATGGCATTTGAAAACTATAGTCTGGCGTTTTGTGCCTTTATATTATGGCTGGAGCAGAATTAAATAAAATGTATAGTTATTTTTTTTATCTAAGCAGTGATCTATCTAATATTTTGTTTTAGTGCATGTTTGTCGTAGTACAATTTATGAGAACAGCATTAGTATAGGTTACTACATAGGTTATTTACCACCCATCAATAAAAAATGTACAACTAAGTGATCAGCGCTCTACACACAGTTTGCGGAAAATGTATTTCCGCTTCCCATCTTTGCCTGAAACTTTTCTTCTTATCGACCGCTCCACTTGCTCTACCATCAGTTTCATGGGGATTCCTTTCCCAAATTTGATGTTCTATATTTTCATTTGAAACTTACAATAATGTTGAGCTCCATAAAATATTTTAATAATAATTTTCCATAAAGCAATTAGTTAGAAGAAAAATGTTCAGTTTACATCGTCACCTTTTTTTATTTTTTTGTTTGGAATATAAAATAATTGCAGAAAAAGGATTTTGGTTTTATTATAAATTAAATATAAAAAGAGGATTAATGCACAAAGATTGACATGAAAACAAAATTGTATAAAAAGTAATTTGCGATTTTAAAGTTTTGGTAGCTGTCAATTAATCTAATTCAAGCAAAGCTAATTTGCGATGGAGGAATGCAACTAAGAAAGGAACTCCATAACTTCATTTTGAAGATATGGGAGGAAGAGAAAATGTTTGAGGAGTGGAAAAGGGGAATTATCTACCCACTGCACAAGAAAGGGGACCAATCGGATTGCGACAATTATCGAGGCATAGTGCTCCTCTCATGTGCTTATAAAGTCCTCTTTAACATCTTATTTGAGAGAAGAGTTCCTCAAGCCGAGAAGGTGGCGAGACAGACAAATATCAAGCGGATCAACATTGGATCAACTGTTCTCACTGAGGTTGATGCTGGAGAAATGCAAAGAGTATAGAACAGTTACCCATCGCCTCTTAGTTGATTTTAAAGTCGCCTACGATAGTGTAACTCGGCCAGAGCTCTACCAGGACCTGTTGGAAATGAACGTCCCAATTAAACTGATACGTCTTGTTAAAATGACGATGTCAGGCTTTTGACCTATTTTCCAAAGGTAAAAATTAAAAATTTAAATAAATGTAAAAAGTGATAGAGATTTAATTCCTATAATTTTTACTATATAATACGATTCTTACTTGTTCATAGATTAAATATATGTACTTTGAAATCTCTCTTAGTATATTGAGCTCAGAGCCTGCAGTTATGCGATTTAGATAGACTGATGCAGTTATGAGGTTTTTATTGCCTGAAATCAATTTAATAAATAAGGTTTGTTATTTTGAAGGTCTTAATGAGTTTTTGGATTGATGAAGACGACCGAAATTCAAAAATATGTTGTTTAAGGTTTAGCTCAATTAAAAATGTGCTTTGAAAACTTCTTGTGACAGCCCAATTTTAATTTTGCCAGACAAGAATTGCATTTTGAAGTAGAGCAGTAAGTGAAAGTTGTGTGATGCACACACCAGATTGTTAGTTTTTGTAAGAGAAATTTCTGGCAGTTCTTCTTGTGGCTTGCTTTGTAATGGCTAAATGATCATATAGTCTCACAATAGCTTTATTAACCATGTTGGAATTTTTAATAAGGGTAATACTTTTGGTCTATAGTTTATGAGCTAGACTGTTAACACAGACCATTTTGCGACACTTGGTTATTTGAACTCAGGGAACCTCAAAACATGTATTTCCGTTGAAAATTGAGATTAGAAAATTTTCACGATCGCAATACTTAACCTTACTATATATTACATATATACGTAAGTGAAAGTAAATATAGGAGAGAAACAAGTTTAGACTGCAGTAAATGTAATTAGACAGGATTTGTAGCACAGATACTTGAGGCGTTCCCTACCTTAACATTCACCCAACTTCTTATTTATACAGAGTGTCCCGTTAGTAGAGAGAAATTTTATAGGAGTCATAGTAGACCTCATCAGCTAAAGAAATTGTTATACAAACAATGGGCCAATTTTCAGCCAGAACGTAGGAAATCCAAGTTTTTAGTTGAATAGGAATTCAGTAATTCAAAATTTCTTTACTGTAAACTGGAAATAATTTACTTTAAATGAAAGTAGAGTTTGTCATTTTAAAACCATTTAAATTAAGATGACCTTTGAGTGGCTAAACAATGCTAAGTTCTGTTTTAAAAAAAAAATCATTAATAATTCGTGATTTCTTTATTATCATCATTAAACTATAATACAGATATCCAACTTTTAGAAAAACTTTCTCATATAATAAGCATGAAGTCCATATTAGTTAAGGTTTGTTTATTGGGGAAAGAACTTGAAATTCACTTCAAGTTGTAGAAAAAACTATTTGATTTTTTAACCAGTCACCTAAAAGTACCTGTTTTAAGAAAAAATGACTACAATATATAGTTGCAAAGCTTTTATTTCTTGTTTTCCATGATTTGGGATGTATTTAATAAACATATTTGCCTAAATACACTTTTTATTTATTCAATTTTTTTTGGAAAAAATAATGTTACTTCAAATCTTTTTCTTATATAGTGGTTATGAAACTGTTTTTCATCCAGATTTCTATTTTAGGAATTGATCCATATTTATAAGTGACAAACTAAATGTTTCTAGTCCAAAAGTTTATGTTTAAAATAAAGAAACTTTCTGATTGCTTCAATTATTTTCATGCAAACGTAAATATTAGGATCAGGAAAATTTATTTTGTCACTTATAAATACAGATCAATTCGTATAATAGAGATCTGGATAAAAAAAAAACAGTTTTCACAACCACTTAATTTACATGAAAAATATTTGAAATATCATTATTTAAAAAAAAAATGAATAAATAAAAAGGGTATTTAGGCAATCATGCTAATTATATACATGGTAAAACAAAAAATAAAAGCTTTGCAACAATTAATTGTAGTTATGTTTTCTAAAAACAGGTACTTTCAGGTGACTGGTTAAAAAATCGAATCTTTTTTTTACACATCTTGATGAGAATTTTGAGTTCTTTTCCCAATAAACAAACCTTAATTTGGACTTGAAGCTTATTAACTGAGACAGTTTTTCTAAAAGTGGGGTATTTGTAGTATAGCTGAATGATAATAAAAAAAAAAATGTGAATAATTCATGATTTTTTTTTTAAACAGGACTTAGCCTTGTTTAGCCGCTCAAAAATCCTCTTTAAAATGGTTAACAATCACAAACTCTACTTTCACTTGAATGAAATTTAATTTAGTTTACATTAAAGAATCTTCGAATTACTTCAATTAAATGCTTTTTAGTAATCGCTTCCTATTCCACAAAAAACATGACACTTAAAAAAACAAAAAACTTGGATTTTCTACTTTTGGCTGAACATTGGCTCATTGGTTATATGAACATTTCTGTAGCTCATGAGGTTTACTAGCACTCCTATAAAAATATCCCTCCGTTTTCCACCTATATACTAAATACTAAAATATTTCCAATATTGAAAATTTCAATGCTCCAAGCCATATACAAAGTATAAAATATTAGCCATGATTACAGAAAAATCTATGAAAAAAAGGATAAGTTGAAAAAGGTTAAAGTAAATAAGATTAGAATAAAAACAAAAGAAATAAAATAAATACTATGTCTACAAAAATTTATTTTAGTAATCTGACTGGAATGTAAAAATATTTAATGTCTGAAAATATCCATTATAAAATTTAAACATACAATTTTTATATTGAAATTGTTACACCAACTTAATATAACTTTACAAGCATACAAAACAAGAAAAAAAAACTATTAAAAACAGAGGAAGTAACAATGAAATAAATGATCACATGAAGAGAAAATATAATATAACACCAAACAGTGACAAACAATTAATTTGTTAATATAGATTAAATAATATTAAAAGCAATAAAAATGTATTTGAAAAATATATGATAAGTTTGATACAATAGAATATTCAAAACTAACTTCACATGAATAATTATAACAAAAATGATTTATTTTTTTTCATCAACAAAAATCATTTCATTTTAGTGATGTATTCATATACTTTATTTTAGTTTTTTCTCAATCTTTAGTATCAATTGTATAAATGTAATTGATTGTCTACATTTCATTTGTAAAATTGTTTAGGTTAATAATCAATACAAGAAGGTAACCAAATACTTTAAGAAATTAATAATGAGATTTAAAAAAACAACCTGCAACAAATGCTAAAAACATCTTCAATCCAAAAATTATAAAAATAAATGGTTATAAATTCGATTTGTACGAACAATGGGAATACACTTTCTTGTAAACATGAAATAACATAAAAATTTATTAATTAGTAAATTTGTAATTTGAGCAGAATTATAGTTTCGAATGCAAGAGAAAATTACCAAAACATCTACATTGTAAAAATTTAATAGAAGCAAAGTAGCATATTTTTGTTACTTGTCATCTTATTTTATTTACTATCTTTATCACTATTATGTTTTATCAATATCAAACTGAAAAACTGGCTCTTTATAAGATACAACTATTTATTTTCTTGTAAATAAAACATAATTTCAAACTAATACAAATAACTCAACAAGACTACTCTGTTCGTTTACAATATTTATGAACCACAGTGACAATAATATTAAAATTTTATTTATGTTCATATTTTAGAAGTGATAACTCTTATAATAAATAAATTGGCTAATAGTTAATATATTTTAAAATATATGCTTTTTCAATGGATATTATATGTGAGGACTTTATCTATGAACAACGATTCTACAAAAATATCTAACCTTCTTCTAAACTTTAAAACTTTTTATTGCTTCAACAAGACAGTCTAACCTTATATTAAATGCTACATTTTGATTACAAATTCTCAAGACGAAGTCTTTACATTTACGAGAGGTATCTGAAAAAGGCCTCAGAAAAGTAATGTACATGAAAAAAAAGAAAATAATAACCTTGTAACAACAGATAACAATTATAAATTCATTTCATTACCTTTCTAAAATACATTTAGGTTAAAAAAAAAAGTTTTTCAAGCAGTACAGTACACAGCAGAAAATTTATAAATTACAGTTGCACCCACCCTAATGTGAAGACCCCAATGGAACTTAATAAAATTGTTGATGGTTTAGTTCAGAGCCGTAAGATAGGCTACACGTTACTAGGGCACTACATCACAATCACAACTCACTCTTCATCTAAAATAACTGAAATTTTTATATGATGTCACACTTTGATCTTCAAGATTAAACTAACATTTTTTCAGACATCTTACCTCTAAAGATACCCATTATCAATGAGCTTAATATTAAATTTCATAGGCCAAAGAAATTACAAAATACAAAATAAATAATTATACATGAAAAATAGAAAAAGGTAAAAGATAAAGAATAAAAAGACAAAATTGTCATGACCTGTAGGTGACTCAGACTCGTGACCAGTCCTTGTCTTAGCCATTGGATAATGCGATACATTGTCAACATTTTAACAAGATAGAAATTTAATCAATTAAATTATTTAATTAATAGAAATTATAAAAATAATTGTTATAGTTAAAAAAATATCTTTCAATTTTTAATTAAGATTAAAAGTGGTTTAATACTGAGCTTCTGGAAACAAATAAATAATACTAAAGCAGATAATATGAAATTAAACATTAAAAATACAGTACTTCACACTAATCAATAACAATTATTTATCATTTCCAGATTAGGTTACACAACTACAAATTATCATTGACAATTAATAATTAACCTCATGGAAAATTAGGGATACACCGTATTAGATATAATGAAACAGACAGTTCAATTTGATCATTACAAAAAATATCCTCTTGATTAGAAAAATATAAATATGATAAAATAACAGACACTTTAAAACAAATTAATGATCACATGCTTGTAAAAAGACTGATGTTTTCACTAAAAATTAACAGGTGGTGACTAAATGACTAAAATATTTCAAGAAGTTAAAACCTGTTCATTTTTAATATCTTTGATGCAGATAACAAACCCTCCCTCCCTTAGCTGGCATCAAACACTACCTCGATACGGACGAGTGCCCAAACCAAAATGAATACGCATAATTCAACAAACATTACTGACACAGAATCTAAAATTTTAATTTAAAGTAGGACCTGAAAGGATGAAATTTAACCTGCAGAGATGCTACCTTGAACCAAGTCATTTATGGAGATGTTTTTCTGTGATAAACAAAAAAAAAATGTAACTGACTAAAATAATTTCAAAAGATGCATAAAATCATACATCACACATCACATACATCACATCACACATCACATACATCACATCACACATCACATACTTAACTTAACATAATAAAATATTGTAACATTGTAGGAACAGGCCAAAGCTCAAATGATTGGTTATATCTAACCATGTAATACTATAGTTACAGTTTAATCTCAAAAGTAACACTTTTTATTATTTTATTTTATCTAAATAAAACATTTATGACAATATTTTATTATGTATTAAATATTGTAAACTATAGTTGGTAAATGAGATAAATTCATTTGCTATAAAAGACATTTATACTTAGTTAATCACAATTCAAACAAAAAAATGAACTCTTGTTAAAGTTTTTTTTTGTAATGTCACTTTCTTTTATAAAGATTATCAATTATTCATGACTTTTGAGAGTTTTAAGGTAGTTCTGAAATGCTACTCAATAAGATTGAAAGCAAATCTGCATATTCAAAATCAGTTTAAAATATAATACAAGCTGTGGTACATTAGGGATAGCATAATTTTCAACGCTTGAGCACTCACCAGTATTTTCAACTCAAATTTGAATAAAATTTAATCCCATTAATTAAAATTGTTAAAAATAAAAATATAGATTAACATGTGCGAAGAAAATAAGAATGTCATAAAGCAGAGAATTTTTTTTTTCTACTGTTTCATAAGTTAGCATGTTAGTTGTACCTTCATATGTTAGTATATACAAAGACAGATTTAAAGCTAACATTTTTTGAGGAATGTTTCAGTTATATTAATAAAAATGTGATTGGGCTCTTAAGGCATTAATTAAATTATTTCGAATTTCTATCACGCAATACGAGACTATCACTAGAGGCCGAGATTTAAAATTATCAGTTTTTAATAAATATTATTTCAAATGGTTATTCAAGTTATTATATTACAAAAGGCTACATTTTTTCAACAAAAAACAGAATTTATTCATAACTTAGAAAAATTATAACTTTTGATTGATGGCCAAACAACCCTGATGACATTTATAAATATTAGTTCTTATATAATTTTTTTCATGAATACATTCGTATATACATAATCAATATATCAACTCGGAATTACAAACATACACTATCTTCAACAATTTAAACATTTTTAAATTGTTTCTTTAGGCTACTTATTAATGTGATAATTGTTAGACATAATGAAAGACGATAAAGAATGTCAATATTCATAGGCTCCTAACAAAAACTAAAATTTTGTATTGCAGTTTAGTCTTTTAGTTATGCTAAAATATCGTGAATGCTTTAAAATATTAATTTTGAACGCTTTTAATACCGCTGATCAAAAAATAAATTAAGAGATCTGTCAAAATCATTCTAGAACTAACAAAACCTCAGTAGCATTTTTCCTTTGATGCAGTCGACAAGCAGTAAATCACTATGATTCAGTCGACAGGCAGCTGTGTCATTGCAGTGCAGACAACAGCCAGCGGTGTCATGACAGTACAGTCGACAGGCAGCGGTGTCATGACAACCCAGATGACATTACATCCAGGTCACATTACAATCTCACTTTCAGTTCTTCCATTCGTTGCTTGATCCTTTTTTTCATTTCTTTATATCTAAAAATAAAAGTAAAAAATAATTTTTTTTTAGAAAATTAAAAGTATATTCACATGAATCTGCTTCGATTACTGTTTTTAAGTTTACAATGATTCATTTAACTGATTTTTCAAAAATATTATACATTTTAAAAAAAGAAAAAAAAACCTGTACCACTACAACCCATGAAGGGTCTTGGGTTCAGTACTACTTAGGGAAAGCACTGTCTCTAGGTCAACGGTTGTGCAAGGAGATGATTTGACCGAGATCACGCTCAACCGCCAGGTTTTCCCCCTTAGTCAATTATTTAATTTAGGGTACCCACTTTGTAGAGGCTGGGTGTGCCCCAGGAGGGTCTCCCGACGCAGGGTCGCCCCACGGCCAATGAAACAGATAAATAAATTTTCTGCCATGAGCCGGGATTCGAACCTGGGACCCTTAGCATTGGAAGCTCAGTCCCCTACCACTGAGCTACCCCGCTCCCTATTTTATATTTAAGTCAATGAATTTATTATGGAAAATACCAATAGTTACTTCAAAAATAAAAAAAAGTTTTTGGACTCAGTGGATTCTAAGATTTGCAAAGTTGAAAACTTAGTTTTGATGACTCCCTTGCCTTAGCTTTGGCCAGTCTAGTAAGTAAAAAGCTACAGAAGACTTCCTTGCCTCGGCATTAGCTAGTCGAGGAAGCGTAAAGCTACAATCTTACGAAAAAATAAAATGTTCGAGCAGCAATTATACTGAATCATCATAAAGTAAGGATGTTAAGTGTGAAGGAATTATAAGAAAGTTCATCTTACTTAGCCCTGATCTTCCTTTCTTCACGTTCCTCTTCCCACTCGTACCTGTCCAAAATTGCAGTACACTCAGTTAACGATAAATTCAGGAATTGAGCAACTTCGCTGGAAATCTCTACGGTGTTCTTCCTATCCATCAGATATAAACGAGCAACATCTTCATGAGGTCCGAGCATGATTCGAGTGACTAAAGGATATTCATCATCTTTCAGCATTCTCTGTTCTGAAAAATAAAAAACATTAAGCTGCTGAAATCATTTTTGAAAAACATCATGATTGATGATTTGAAGGAATTGAATATAAGGTGCTAAAGGTGCCAATTAAGGGATATGTAAAGAGGTTAATTGTGTGAAAATGGTGTTTGAAAGGAGAGAGGTCCTCTCGGGAATTAGATCCTGCAAGACACTAACAAGTGAATATATTATGAAGCTAAGAAGTCCTCAAAAATTTACATTTGAAGAATATACAAATATTTATAGCAACTTTATTAAGAAATAAAAAAAATAAAAAGATATCAGTCTTTTTATCAAATTTAATTTTTACTCCAACATTTTAAAATTTACTCCCTTGAAATATTTTCACAACACAGATTTTAAACAATACATCCCTAAAAGATCTAAACCTAATTTTCAGATTACTGGAAGGAAAACTTCATTAATGATAAATAGGGCTCAGAATTGAATGATTTCTCCTTTTTCTTCTGTATTTGGGAAAACAGAGTTCTCAATAGACCTATACTGATCTTGGATTATAGATTTACCATATAAAATCCTCTAGGATCTTTTTTTTTGCAATAAAATAATTATTTTTTTTAACTTTTGCACTAAAAAAAATCATTTTATTGGAATTTCCCACAAAATAATCTGTTTTGCAATTCTTAAAAAAAAAAAAAAGAAGTTTTATTCTCTTGTTTACGTTCAGAATTTGGTTCCATTGAATATATTCATGAATTAATATATCTCCTTATAGCACTAAGTTATTAAGATTCCTTCATAGCCCACTCCATTACTTTCTGGAATTCTTTACCACCTAACATCCGCCACCATTCAAATACCTTCTTACATCTCAAACATACGATATGCAAACGTAAAATTTCTGTTCCTAAATTGAATTTTAAAAGAAGTGAATAGTAGTGCCTACTGTTTAAGTGTTAACATCAAAAATTAATGCTTCTTTTTTGCTGACTTATTATTTTTTCATTTAGCCAGGTTTTGTTTTTGCTTTATGTAAATATACAATATATATATATTTTTGTTCTCTTTACTCACATTACAACTATAACTATTATTGGGTGATAAATAGTCAAGACATAGTCATTTTAAAAAAATTTTTATTTGTACCAATGCTTCAACCTAAACATGTGAATCTGGAATTGTAGTTTATACTGATATTTTTTAACTTATAAAATTTTTCAAAGGAGCAAAATTTGTTTAAAAAATTAAATAAAATACCTTAAAAATGAACTCACCTCCATTATCCCTAACCACATAGAGGGCGAAGCAATTCGAATGAGAATCAACTTTGTACTTGTCTAACATGAGATTGATAACTTCATTAGTTGAGACTAGGGAGGTAACCCATACCGACATCTGCGAGCCGTAAGGCGGAGTAAAAAAGGAAGTTTCTCTAAAAACATTATTTTGTAATTAATAAAAAATAACTGAATATAGTCTGTATATTTACAATTAAATGGCAAAATAAGTGAATAAAATCCGACAGAAACCTTATAAATTACAATTGCGTCCTAAAATAGAGAAAAAAGGTCTTAGTAAAATCATTCAGTGAAACTACCTTAAAAGACATTATTCATGATGGTTTATCAACAAGCCATAGGAATATGGAATAAATTATAAATTCACTGCATTATAAGTGAATACTAGACACTTTATTTGATACAATTAGATAATTAACTATTAATATATATTTGTTTACAACACGATGGATTATGAAAATAGTTAATAACCAGAAACCAAACATCACCATTTATTGCAATTTAGAAAAGTCACTAAGTACATTTTTCAAGGAGCTAAAGTTTTAAGTACATTTTTGTTGATTTCAAGTTTATTTATCAATGTAAAAGCACACTAAGTGCACCAGAATAACACAAACATTTTTATATATCAAAAATACACAAAGCGAACAATGTTCTGATTTCACAGAGAGAAAATTCATTTCATTTTATGAAATTTTACTTGGTGATTTTTTATATTAAACTCACAATATATTGTATTAACTATTCAAAACAAAATTTGTTATTTATAGTTTTTGAAAATATTTCTAATGGTTACCTATTATAGAAATGACCATTAATGGAACATCTTCTTTTAAGCCGTCTCCTACGAGCTCCTGCCCGTCGGACGATGGGGGCTCTTCTTCGCACTGCTCGAGCCTCAGACCTCGTTTCGCTTTCGGACTCACCACCGCTTCCTACTCCTTGCTAAAGAATTTGAGTAATCAAGAAGAAAATAAATAAATGAAACTAAGGCAATGTCCATTCCAAGTTTTGCCAATCTGCCAACTAATTTGATCCTTACAACTAGCTAACTAGAAGAATTGAAAAGAATGAACGGAAAGAGAGGCAAAACAAGGAACAGCTGAGGGAGGTTCTAAGGAAACAGCAGGTCAGCAAAAAATAAAATAAATAAACCAGATATAAAAAAGAATTTGTACCAAACCACTGAAAATATATTATAATAAATTTGCTGCAGAGGGATTTTATAATAAAAAAACAACTGATGAGAAAAAATAATGTAAAAGAAAAATTAGCTAGATCTATTAGACTCTTTTAAGACGTTCAACGTTTCGGAATAAAATATTTTATTTATATTAAGAATATTACTTTAATCTATCATTTTAATTGATTGATTAAAATAAATCGCTATAAAGCAAAGTTGTTGATAACCTCATAGTGGAATAATGGAATATGATAGCTATACTTACACTAAGTGCTTCTGGATTGCTTTGGCTTCGGTCTATAGCGAATCCCATTTCCAAAGTATCTTCAAAGCATCTGGAATAATCATCACCATTTTGCTTTTCGATATCAGGAGACAAAGGAGGATTCAGCTCCGACGACATTGGCGAAGCATCAGGAGTAGAGCTGCTGGTACTGTTGGCAGAAGTAGGAGCTCTAGGTAAGCTGGAAGGCATTGTTTGGTAAAGCTTTTCCCCGTCTTCTATTTTCCTTTCCACCTGAGCAGAAATTGAAATTTATAAAGAAATTTCGCCTCTCAGTTATACAAGGTAGGGGAAGGAACCGTCCAACTCTGAGAGTGAATTTTTCAGACAGCGAAAAAAGATAAATATAAAAAAAAATAAATAAAAGGCACAATGAATGTTAAATTTATCAAAATATCTACAGTCCTTTTCGCCAAACCCTCTCAGTCCTGATGATAATTATTGACAAAAATATAACAACAGAAATCAGGAGCGGGAGCAGCAAAAATATTACTAACTTGCCTCAGGCCCTAGCTCAGTCGATGGTGGCGGCACTACATGTCACTTCAGAAGCAACCAAACGACCTTGAACCAGTCATGTTCCAGTAGCAGCTACTCGACGCTCCTTCAGTCCCAAACAAAATGTGTTTAGTAACTGTAAGAGTGACAATGGATATAAAGCATCGTTCTGGGAACAGCTATACAACAAGAAAATTCTCCCTACTAATAGCATATGAAATATATAATAATAATAATAATTATAAGAGGCAAAGAAGTGCATAACTGCTGGGGCTTAACGAACCCCCAGGTTCTGATGTTCAGTACACCGCACTTGATCATAACAGACCACTGCACACGAACACTGACATAAGCACACCTACAGTACATACCTTAGGGATACCTACCCTAAGAAGACCTGACCTGGCAGAAGGTTAAAAATGCAACCTACCCTAAAAATGGAGCTAAGAAGTCGCAAAATCACCTCTGATGAATCTAGAGGAAGGGCTACTCTAGAGGGTTTGGATCAGCAGCCCACTTCATCGGCAGGCGGAGCAAGCGTACCTGATGTTGCATGGAACCGTAAGGCTGTATCGTCGAGGACTAACAACTAACTCTGGTTCGAGCTTGGAAGCTGTTGTGCCTTCCACACGAAGTAGAGGTCCTAACGCCAAAGAGATTTTTCCAGAAAAGGGTTTGATCAAAGGTTATTCCAAGGTTTTTGATGTTAGGAGGACATTTGATGGAATTATCATGTAGGAACAGGGTTGGAATGGTAGGGACAGTTTTAAGGAGGTTATTGGAGCCTATCAGGATTGCCTTCATCTTCTCCGATATATGATACGATATACCATCTGAAAATATTTATTTAACTCATCAATCGTGAGACTGCCATTAAGTCAATATGAAGTATGCTAAAGTTTTTTGAAGAGTTAAAAAAAAATTATGATTTCAACTAAAGAAAGTAGAAAAAGTATGATTTCAACTAAAGAAAGTAGAAAAAAATAAGTCATGATCAATTGATAGTTAAAACATTAGACAAAAAGTATCAGGTACAGTTGAGAAACAAAAACAACTTGCCACAGATACCACTAACAGCTGTCCCAAACCACCGATAGTCCACGATTGGCAAGAGACTTGCCTGACTAGTTCCTCACCAATAGATATAAAAAGTAAGATTAATGTTACCATCCTCCAGGCAAACAAAAAAATTCTCGAAAAGACCCTAATAAGTCCAATACTCCTCTATGATTCTGAGACATAGACTCTTTCAAAGAACAGTGAGCAAGAGCTTGAAATATCTGAAAGAAAAGTTCTTCATATGATATAAGGAGGAAACCAACTTTAAACTAACTGAGTGAATAACAAAAAATAAATTTGAATAAATAAATAATGGTACCTGTAAAAGCTCATCCAACTCATTCCATTCAATCTTATTAATGTCCAGCTTGGAGGGAAGAGTTAACGATTTGCCAGCCAGGTTCTGAGCCTCATCGACTGCTTCTGGTTTACAGTCCTCAGGCGGTTGGTTAGATCCATTTTCAAACTGCTGAAACAGAAAATAAAAATTGAAAATTCATACAAATAACCAAATAAGAGAATCGAAATCTGAAGACGTTTAAAACTTTTAAGGTCAAATTGTGGAGAGAATTGAGAATTTTTTCCTCGTGTGGGCTCATTACCACGTAGGGGAGCGTCCCAAAGGTGGTGGGTGTGGGAATGGTTGGTGTGAATTCCTCCCGGCTAAGTCCAATGGACTCGTTGACCAACAAAGAGAGGGGCCCTCCAGACTTGCTGGAGGGTGTGAAATAGGATTGAACGCTCTACTCACACACCTTCAGTTCACCATACATCACGAATAGTCATGGATCTCTCTAAGGTATAACGCTCATTATCCGGAAGTAAACTAGTTCCCCATTCGGGGTCTTGATTAGGAAAAATAAAAAAATCCATCAATAAGAACTCAATTCAAGCTAGACGTTAAGAATAGGTTTGAAGCTTTAGAACCTTATCATAAGGACTGTGATGATATAGACACGTTATTTGGGGATAGAAATCAGAGGTAATATTAAAGCGGTTGGTAACTCATGTCTTGGGAAAAAGGAAAATAAAAAGAACAAACCATCGCTGGATGAAGATTATTTAAACATGTGTGATAGAAAAGTGTTAAACTAAAAACTCTAAATAATCCTAGCGAAGACAATCTCGAATACTTCTGAACCTTAAAGAATGAAACAAATAAATTGCACAAAATTAAAAAAGTGAATATCTTAAAAATCAAGAAATGGAAATTGAAACTAATAGAATCGAAAATAATGTAAGAGAAATGTACAAAGGTAAAAACGTCTGGAATTAGGGATGAAATTAATAATATTCTAACCAATGCGATAAACATATTAAATAAGTTTAAGAACCACTTTGACAATACTTTAAATACAGGAAATAATGTTCTGTGTCCTCCTTTTGAGTACCAGAGTACTTAACCATTAATAGAAGAACTGAGTAAAGAGGAAGTTGATGTAGCTATAGGAAAATTAAAATCTTACAAAGCAGCGGGAACCGATAATATTTCTAGTGAACTAATTAAGGCATACGGGGAAGCTGAATTTTCTAAAATATATTTTTTGGTTAAAAAGATCTGGAAGAATGAGAAATTGCCTGCAGAATGGAAATAATCTATTGCACTAGAAATTTGGAAATAATCTAGTGCAATTTATTCCGATTCACATAAAGGCTCAGAGGACGAATTAAAAAAAATATTGAGGGATTTCACTCCTTCTGGTATAAAAGATTATTAACGGTATAATGTTATAAAATATTCACTTTAATCTTAACTAGTCCAATTACGGAATATGCCAAGGAAATTATCAGAGATTAGCAATGCAAAATTAGACGGCTAATCAAATAGGCTTTTAAAATTGTTGGGCTTAGAAACAAAAGAATTCCTAAAAGTTTTATTTTATACAATAAATTAGGCCAATTATCACCAAACATTTTATTGATACGCATTAATTCGACGTTTCGACCATACTAAGGGCCATTTTCAAGTCTTGATGAGTCCTCCGTTATATATTCATCATTAATGTTGTAATTAATATGTTCAGTGAACATTAATTTTTCATGCTCTATAGGGTTTTCGCCTAGGTCATTTCTGGAGGGACTAGTCCCTTTAGTCCCTCCAGGTTGAGATAGGACAAGTTAGCAGGTCAAGATGAGACAAGTTGTGTTTTAAATATTCTTACAGAATATTCCAAGACATGCTGGATTTCAAGGCCCTAAAATTTACTGTTTTTAACGCATGGGACCACTTTAATCCTAGTTGTCACGGTTGCAATGGAATACTAATGATATATTGTATATGTTCCTTGAACAAATCATCTAACAACAACATGATTAGTAACAAAAAATATGAACGAGTGAAATAATAGAAAACACAAATGAATCCTGAATGCATGATAAATAATAAACACCTTTTCAGGAAGGCCGTTGATTGCGATCCCGCTATATCTATAAGAGTTCCTCTTCCTAACAGTGACAACAGTTCTCTGATCATCGTCCTCTTTCAAGTGTATCATTCCTGATACCCCCCAATAAATTCTCAATGCTCCTTCCAGCACAAGCCGTCCGTTCACCTGCAAACAAAAACAATGAATAACAAAATACTTCAATTTCACTAAAATAAAAACATAAATAAAAAATATATATATATATGGAATAAATGAAAAAATAAAAAATAAAATTGAGACAATTAATTTTTTCTAAAACCAATCAGAGAAATTATTAGAGTACGATTTCTTTAATGAAATAAAGCAATGTAAATGGGCATGTGAATCATCCGATTTAGAGAATTTATTTTGAGATTTGTCAGAAATTTAACAACCTTTCAAAAAATAGGCAAATGTGTTGTTCGGACTCAGAGAGCTTTGAAACGTAAAGATTCATTTGAAATCTGATCCCTTCGCAATACTTTCCATACCTAATAGCGGTAGGAAAATAAAATATGAGAATATAACTAAACATACAAACATCACTCATTTCATCATATGGCATTAAACTTAATTTTTTTAAGGATATCATCAAAAAATATCTGGTCGGGCATCACACGCCTTTCACTTAACCCCCCTCATCTTAGCAGAATTAATATTTTCAGAAAAAAAGGAAGTGAAAGTAGATATTATGGACGCTATACTTATTTAGATTTCATTTAGGGTATTTTTATTTATTCAATTACTCTTATATACAGAGTGTTTCAGGATTAAGTGGCCATACTACAAAAATGAACTAAGGACCTCAAAACAAGAAAAAAAATTCCTCTTAAGGTATGTCCGCAAAAGCTTTTTTTAGGAGATATTCACACCTAAAGATTTTTGTTGCTATATTATTATTTACGTTATATGAAATAAATAAAACCTATTTATTTGTTCTAACTACTTTATTAATTAAATGTAAACATTAATATTCATATTAAATGTTGTTCAAAGTGAAGGTATGTCCGCAAACGCTTTGTTTAGGAGATGGATTAGATAGAATACTAATGTGGCCTTTTATCCGTAACTGTATAAAAACTATTGGCAACATAAGGATTAATACTATTTGGAATTAGCATTGGGAACTCTCAATAACATTTATCACTTTGTAAGAGGCTTTCGCAGAGTACTCATCATTATATCTTGGCTGTCCAGGACCAGTGGTTTGGCCTGCATGTTCTCCAGATCTGACACACCACTGGATTTTTTTGTTTGGGGTGACATTAAGTCTATGAAAGTCCGGTCAATAATGACTTTAATTACTTACGAAGAAGGATAATTGAGTCTTGTGAAACAATAACACATATCCAGTGCTGTTTTGCCACTGCTGCTGTTGAAGAAAGATGCCAAGTCTGTCTTAATGCTCAAGGAAATCACTTTGAACATTTAATATGAATTGATTGTTTACATTTAATTAATAAATTAGTTGAAACAAATAAATAAGTTTTATTTACTTAATATAACATAAATAATTGATAACAATGAAAATCTTTAGGTGAGAATATCTCCTAAAAAAGCAAGAGGAAATTTTTTTCTTGTTTTGAGGCCCTTAGTTCATTTTTGGAGTTTGGCCACTTAACCCTGAAACTCATTCATTTTACATTTTGAAATTGTTTTTTTAATATGTAGCTACAAGAAATACAATATGCAACTTATAGTGATGTGGAAGGGAAGTCTGGCCCATGGAGGACTACACTCTTCTAACTAATTTTTCTTCCCAAAAAAAAAAGTGAAAATATAGCAGTTTTGGGGGTTTTCATGTTGTGATCCGGGAGGGGAGGGAGGAAGCTGAGGTCAAAAACTTGGATTTTGCATTACAGTCACATTCCATACAAGGAAAAAAAAAGAAACCTCCAACCCCCAATCGATACAACATTGATTTTTTTTTGTGAAATATATTCCTCTTGGTAATAGCTACAAATACTGTATAAGAAAGAAATTTATAACAAATTTTTACCTCTCGACATCGTATTTCACCACTTCTTCCGTCATAATACTGATTAAATACTTTTAATTTTGATTCCAAATGAGACCTGCAAGAATATCAAAAAATTACTTAAAAAATAAATAATAAAACAACAACAAAAACGAGGAAGACATAACACCCCATGAGGGATGAGGGAGGTGTAGAGGAAGAAAAAATAAAAGAAGACTAAATGATATTCCTATGGTCCTGAGTTGATCTATCTAACTAAACAGGAATTAATAAATAATTTAAATTATACATATTATAGTTGGCCTGTTCGAATAATTGGCATAAAATATAAGTCTAAATAAATATATGTTAATGCAATGTATTATGAATTGGAAGAATTCCTTTTCCTTTTCTTGATTGAATTAAAATAGTTAATTCATACAAATAAACCAAAACATTTGTACAATTTATAGCAGTCAATATCTTTGCTCAAAACAGACTGATTTCGATATTTTTTTTTTATTTATTTTGTAACCTTTTAATTATTCATTAATTTAATCCCCACATATATTATTACAGTAAGGTTTGAAATCAGTTTTGTACCAAATATAAGCTCCTGTCATGCTCAAATAACATGAACGGAGTACCGTTGGATTCAGAATTTTACGGGGGGTTAGCAAATCATATTATCCACTTTTGTTTTTATTTCTAAAATAAATAAAATCGATACAACCATTTTGCTAGGCTTCAATACTGGAATGGTGGCAGGTCTGTAGATCAATACGGGACAAATTGGACCTTTAAGATTTTGATGCGAATATTCAGGCAAACAAGTTACAAAAGAAAACAAACTTTATTTGCAAATAACTAAAAAATTACAAACGTTTCCCTTGGTTATGCCCATGATTATATAAAAGATTACTAAATTCCCTACAAAAGAAAAAAAAATCCTCAAAATCAGACAATTATTAGCAATGATACAGCTTATTAAAATTTGTATACATGTTGGTTCCAAAAATTAATGAAGATTTAAATTAATTTTTGTTTCCTTTGTCGATTATATTTATCGATAAAGTAACAATTGATTTCTTTATCTTTTGATACGTTGATTATTTTATTATCTTATTAATTTGGCATTTGATAACAATATGCTACTAGTCCGCTGGAAATTGCAAACTTTTCGTGTTATGGCCAAATTAAGTTTGTTTGTTTTTTTGAGATGTTGGAGGTTGTGTTTAGACAATCTTTAAAATGATGGTCCGATAATTCAAATTTACAAAGATTTGACAAAATAAAACACCAGTGAGAAAAAATATACACTATATATTGTATTTATTTCTAACAATTGGGACTTTCCAACCACTTATGTGCCACTTTAGCTCTTACACGATATTTATATTACACAATATAAAAAAATAACAGTAAACTTGAAGTTAGAAAATATTAACATTTACAAAAAATGAAACTGTTATATAGTTTTATGAAACTGTTATATTTGTTTTTAACAAATAAAAACAATTTGATGCCATCTTCGTGTTTTTTTCAAAATTTCAGCAATATTATTTTCCGACTCGACTTCACTCCAATGTTCTTTATAGGCACAACACTCAGTCTAGATATGCATCATCGTGATATTTACCACGCAGAAAAGAAACTAAAGGGATGCCCCTTTTGTCAGGTTTTAGCCTTGAGTATCCAATTCGTAGTTTTGCTAAGCTGATCTCTTTTATTCTACTCAACTGCAGGTGCACTTGATTTGTATCTATAGAGAGCTGGAAATTATAATTTTTATAAGAATCAGAATCTATGACAACAGTGGCATCAAGATTTCCTATCACACGTATGAGGTTGGGCTCAAGTGGCATCAAGATTTCCTATCACACGCATGAGGTTGGGCTCAAACAGAAACTGAAAAACTGTACATTTTAGGGCTTTAAAAGACAGTTACTTAATCTTAAAAATTGTCAAGAGTTATTCTTAACATAAAAATCATAAATTATGAAAATAGTTTTCGAAAACAGTACGTGTCAAAATGAAAGTTAATATTTTATAACACTTCTTTGAAAACAATATTAGAAGCAATAATACATAAATTACAATAATAATAATAATGTTTTATTTATTCTGGAACGAATCCCTTTAGAATAATCAACAAGGACAGAAATGTGGGCTTTTGAGCCTCAGATATATATACATATATTTACAAAGTTAACTAATAGATATAATAGAGAGAGAAAAAAATTATTAAAGGAGTTCCATAGAGATAAGGATCGAATAATAAAAGATTTATCGAAAGCAGCGGTTCGGTGGGCTATTATATATAAATCTGAAGAGTGGGAACGGGTATTGTGGGAGTGGACAGAGGATTTAAATTGAAGGAGCTCTGCGATGTATAAAGGACGGCGGGAGTGAATTACCTGGAAGAGGAAGGATGCCAGGCAATACTTACGGCGGTAGGAAGGATAAAGCCACTTCAAATCTTCATAGAAACAGGAAACAGGGGCGTCTGTTGGGATCCCGAAGATGAATCGTACAAAGCAATTTATCAAACGTTTTAGTTTCGTCTTGAGATCCCCAGAACAGTCCCCATATACTGTGCAACAATAGTCGAAGTGGGGAAATATTAAGGAGGTGACCAGGAGTCTTTGGATTTCAAAAGGAAAAAGATGTCGGAGGCTATTTAAGTGTTTTAGGGTGGAAAAAGTACGTCGGGAGATATTGGATACATGATTTTTCCAGGAAAGGGTTTGGTCAAAGATTATTCCAAGGTTTTTGATGGTGGGATAAAATTTGATGGGATTATCGTGCAGGAAAAGGGTTGGAATATTAGGAACAGTTTTGAGGAGGTGATTGGAGGCTATTAGGATTGCCTCTTGGTCAATAGGCTGTATCTTTGTAAATAATGGTCCGATTTCTGTTTTTTTTTTTGTTTTGTAGGGAATTTAATAAATTTTCCAAATAATAATGAGTCTAATCAAGAAAAAATGAATACTTTTTAAGTAGGCAAACACAATAAATATTATAAAATATAGTATTATACATTGACTACCATCGACCAATTACTTCTTAAATTGTAATTACGGCCAATTATCTCATACCATTGTATATCACTATTAGGAATTAAGACATAACAGATCTATGTAATCTATTACACCATGTCATAACTTATTAATCCAAGTATACAGTTCCAACTGCAGGATATGAAAAAATGGTTCATCTCAAGTTTCAAACTGCATCTTAGAAGATAGTGGCAGTTACAATGACCGGCCATGATGAGAGTTTAGGATGATACCAGAAATCAAAAGAACACTTCTTTTACATAAAATATTACATAAATAATAAGAGACATTCTATTCACACTTTTAAACTATTTATATTAGTTTAGACCATATTGCTTGTACTTATAACTCATATCACTATTGTTAGTGCAAAAAGGTTATTTGTGAAAATTGACTTTTTTTTACAAGAAAACATGATACTGGTTATTTCTTTATGATGTAGTAATATAATTTCGTATTTTATTCACCTCTCCTATTTTCCATAATAACAGACTACTCATAGCAGTTCTTCTTTGGCTCTCCAACCCACGTGGGGTCAAGGCCTCCTGCGACAGCAGTAACCAGTCATTTTTATTCAAAGCAACCGATTTCCAATCCCACTACATCATCAGCCCAACGCAACTTGGGTTTTCCAATGACACAAACTTATAGCAGTTACATACTACAAAATGTCATTTTTGCCACAAATATAAGAATGAAAAATTGTTACATACGACCTTTTGCACTAACACTAGCGTTCTGTAAAAGTTGAGTGTTTTACAGGGGAGCTTATTATTCCTTTGTGAATTATGAATACAATTAGATGTTTTAATTCACTCTGTTTTACATTGAATAGTAACATACTACTTATAGCAGTTGCAGACAACAAAATGTCATTTTTAGCACCAATAGAATAAAAATTTAAAATTTTTATAAAAGACCTTTTGAAATACCAATAGCATTATTGTAAATTTCATATTATATCATGTAAAACTTGACAGAAAACAGAAATAATATAGAAATTAGTGAAGTGGAACAGTTGACAAATTGCCAAAAATGAATTGAAATTAGATTACATATAGATCATTAAATTTAAAACAAGGTACTAAACCATTTTCTTAAACTCCAGGCTGAAAACTAAACAAATGAAAATTCATTTAATTTAGTGCATACATAATTATGTCATCTTACCTTGGCATGTTTTTGGAGGAAGACTTATTCTCAACTTTCCCAAAACTAGTATGTGATTCCACTCTAGTTCCATGACCGTACAATTGTGGACCAAATAATGCACCATAACAGGGAACATGACAGTAAGGAACACCTTTGTGCTAAAAGAAATATGTAAACATAAAACAAGCTGACAATAGACATAAACCACTGAACACATAACCACCTATCCTTTACTCTTTATAATCAAGTTTACCTCAGGCTGTATCAACTTTATAAATAATGAGGTGTCAAATTTCTACAACTAGATTATAAATAACATGAAAACAGATTTTGATCATGTCAAATTATGATCACTAATAATTGTTAGTAACCTATAGTAAACAATTGTTTACTTCTCATTCAATCAAATTATATTGACCTCAGCGTGCTGTCCAGGATTTAAGCGTTTTCCACATTCCTCACATCTCAAACATTCTGGATGCCAATCATACCCTAATGATTGTTTCCGCTCAGCTAAAATAAATGTTCATGTTGTTAAATCTATGGTCCATAATACCTTAATACTATAATACATCCAAATTTAAGAAATAGGGGTAAATTGATTTAATACATGAAAAATGTAATTGAAATTATTACCGAAATACACAGGTTTGCCGCATTTATGGCACTTCCACATCTTAAGATTAAACTGTGTTCAAGTCATGAAAATAAACAGAGTATATCAATTACTTCAACGCATTTCTCTTTTTGTTTATATTTCATAGCTCCTTGAGTGATTTTTGATTACTAGCTGAAGCAGTGTTGCATGAGTCACATTAACATTACTTTTACAGGTAGGTATGAATAAACTATAATTTTCCAACGTAAATATAAAATAAAAATTATTAACAAAACACGAATAAATTCATATATTTTTAATAATTATATTTTGAAAAGGATCCTTTATTCATGCTTTTAAAAGAAATACTTTTCCCCCTCCCATAATTACAGTAAAGTAAGGAACAAATATTAGTAAATTAGTTTGGGAAATGATAACAATCTGTGAAGGATTAAAATTGAAACGCAAATAGTTCATCAAGCTTTATGAATTATGCATGTAACATATTTATCAGCAAGATCGGGAATCGCAGAAATCAAGGACATTTTAATTCTGAAGATATTTTATTTCAATGTTCGAAAAATAAATTGAGTGTGTTAAGCTACATATCTAGAAACTAGAAATAAGAACAAATTGCTCGTTCGATTCACAAAATCCAATTTCGATCATATAAATTCATTATAAAGTAACGTTTTCGTATAATCATTCTTTCTATGGTCGGCTGCTAATTATATTAATACAATTCATTTTAACAAAGTTACTATTATAGGCGCAGACTTCGGAGAGAGGGAGACACACCCTTCTCTCCAATCACTAGCGGATCCAGGATTTAATTTTTTTTTTTGGGAGGGGGCTTTAGCCCGTTAGGTTTTTCTTTTCATATATATATATATATATATATATATATATATATATATATACACCGATAATTACTTTGAAAAAAAGAGAAATAAACTAACTACTTATATAAAATACTATTTAAGTGATCCTTGAAGTCCTATTAAATGTAATTACACGAACAATAATACTTTAAGAGATAATGTTTTCCATAAAACAGGCTAATTTTGGGGAGGGCTTCAGCCCGAAAGCCCTCTCTTTCTCCCTCTCTTAGATCGGCCGGTATCTCCAACCAGAATGGAAAGTCTGCTCCTATTGTTACTATATTTGTTGTAATGTATACCATCATTTGTTCGTTTTTGCCAATAGGCATTTATTTATAACAGCTAAATGTTACATTTGTAAAATAGAATACCTTACCTTTTTTGGGGGAGAGGTCCTCCCCTTCCTCGCCTTTTAAAGCTATAAGGGGTTTTCCCGGGCCAGGGAGTGTGGGCGGGGATTTAAAAGACTCCCCCGGCACCGGGACGCCAACTCGTGACTATTTTAAATCCATTGTCTCATAGATCAGGTTGCCGGCCAACGGTGGTGCTGTGCATACACGTTAGCCCGTTCGGCCACCCCGCCCACAGAATACCTTACCTTCAGGTCCCTCAGATGATATTGTATTTCGTCAAGTACGACTGATTCTTGGTAGTGGCGCAGAGGTGCCCATTCCTCCCCTCCTCTCCTCTCTCCCCCCAAGATCGATGGCGCATAAATCTCTCCCCTTCCCTTTCCAAGAAATTTTATTGCTTTGGTTGTTAAAATTATGCAGGTGAGAGAAGAATTAGAAAATTTTAGATCATTTCTTTATGTCTCGTCCATTTTTTTACCCTTGTTTCGTGGTTAAATCTTTCCCTTTCGAAAATTTGAAGAAGTAAAGAGCAATCAATTTTCTTACTAATTATGAATTTTCGGACTAAGCGAGAAGGGAAAAACATGGAACAGGCCACGGCAAGTGTAATTGTATATCAACTACGATTTTTTTCGTAATTCTACCTTCGCTTGCTCTGTTTGTTAAGAAAAGGTGAGCAATAAAATATCTAGGCAGATGGAGGGGGAGGGGCTTGATTTTTGCGCCATCGCCCTTGGATGGGATGGGCACCCCTGTCTAACATCAATGTAGGGACGGTTCTCACCCTAGTTCTAAACACCTCATCCACCATCTGGTATTAGGTTGGACTGAAGAACAATCCTTATAAGGATAAGATGTAGGTCCAGAAAGAAAAGAAGCCGCTGGACAATCATCATGCCATTAGCAGCAACTATCCACCATCTTCTATTTCGGCGTTACATTGGATAGCGTCTCATTTTTTCCAGTCACTTCAGAAAGCGGCTCAGGCTGACCCTGCAGAAGGTCTATAGGCTCTACCATCTGCAGACATTTCTACAATTCTCCTTTTGCCTGAAGTTCCAACTCTAAAAATTCAGGCAGACTCCTCTATGGAAACATTTTTACAAGAACATGTTATAACGACTGAAGGGTTACCAAAACTTTGTTCTTTGACGGACCGATCGTGATACGAGCTTAACTCTCCTCAGAGAAGAATTAAACAGGCAAGTCCAAACTCTGCTTTCCTGTCATTCATTAACTTGGATGTATATATCTGCAGCGAAGTCCCTCCTCCCGCTCAGTTCAATAAAATTACCCTGCTTGAGGGCAATGTGAAAATTGAAATGGCAGGGAAAGATTTCAGGAGGTTCAATTCAAGTTGAATAGCCTGTTTGGATTTACCAAATGACCTCTAGAATCTAATACCGCTATCGGGAAAATACCGATTGCTGCACCAAGCTCCAACTTACCTAAAGGATCTAACACTACGTTTTGAAATAATTCATGTACTTATCTGTCATTTGCCGAACATGTGAGTATGGTCAGGGTTCCCAGAAAGGGGTTTGATGGTCCAAGCTGCGCCATCACAATTTTTGAGGGAGCACATTTTGATGAGATTTTGAACTTTTGAGGGGGACACATTTCGGCGGGATTATGAATTTTCAGAATGAAACGTTTCAACCAGAGGACAAGGAGAAAACATGTAACAGACCGCAACAAGCGTAATTGCATATGATCTAGGATTTTTAAAAGTTTACTTTTTCTTGCAGTGTTTAAAAGAAAAGGAAACCAATAAAATATCTGGTGAGGAATAAGATTCCTGCGCCAAGGACCGTGGGGGGAATGGGCACTTCTGATACACCGGCTACGTCAGATCTGCTGCGGAATATGTATTTACCAGGTGAGGAATCGCTGCAGCCTCGAACCTCCAGAGGATTTAAACCATGCAAAATAAGCAACTAAGGATTATGAGAGGGGCAATGAAGTCTACCCCAATAAAAAAAAAGGAGACAATTACAAAACTTCCCTCAATAGAGGACATAAGAGATGAGAAACTCCTACATCTTGATGCAAAAGTCCGTTTAAAAAAAGGCTGAGAGATAGAAATATAAACCATAGATGGGCATAATCATAATAAACGATTACTATTAGAGTAATTATGTTAATGTGATTACAATTTACAGTAATCTTGATTACGTGATTAGAATCGTAATCAGGTTTTCGATTACGATTGTAATTGGGCAATCGTGTCACGTTTTTGTTATAATTATAGTGCTGTTAAATAAGTATAAAATTAAATTTTGATCATGTAAGGCATTGTGCCCATCTCTGATATAAACAGACTAAAACGGCAAAGCATATTTCACAGAAATACAAAAAAGGTTTCTGAAATCTACGAACAGGAAGTATCTATAAAACGATCAATAGCAGTACAAGACAAACTTCTCTGATTGGAATCTCCGAAACCACAAATTGTGCTATATTTATACAAGCTGCGCCCTGGTATCAAAAGCAAAGAGAACAATTCCCAGAAACTTTTGAAATATATTTCCCTCCAACATATAAAAAACAAGTAGCCGAAAGACTCGTGGACTCGGAATATACATTGACGGATCGATCATAAATGAACCACGAAGGATAGGGCCGGTATCCATTTGCAATTTCCTGCGGGGAATATTATTGAAAAGGCTGTCCCAACTGGTATCACTTCTTCGAATTATTGGGTTGAGGAAGAAACCATCTGTGAGGCGTCGAGACTGTATTGGGCAGTAAAACGACTCGAAAACTAAAACATTGTGTTATTGTGATAGTATTGTAATCATCCAGATCGAAGTGGAGCAAAAGCCTAAGAAAACCTGCCAATGAGCTTGAAGACTTGATATCCTTAACAAAAAAGTTGTCTTTCAATGCATCCCTAAACACTGGCCTCTCTGAAACGAAAAGGCTGACCAGGTAGCCAAGGAGGGGGTCTGGAATTCCTGGTTGATTGTAACCTCAGACTGGAAGAGGTGCAGGGACTAAACAAAGCTTCTGTTAACCTACTAGGGATCAGAAGTGAACCATATAACGACCCCGTAGATGCTATCCATGAACTTACTGGACAAGAGCAGACCTTAGTCTTTCACTTCCCAATGGACCACAACAGACTCAAAACCCACCAGTTCAGAAAGTTCCACAAGAGCTCTAATCACTTCTGCGAGTGCGGAGATTAATTGTAACACTAGTATATTATTTTTCGGAATAAGTTAGTTGGGGGTATGGTAAAAAAATATTATCTTGTATAATAATTCCATTGTGCACCTACAACGTAGGTCGAAACATTGTACAATGCAATAAATATATTGTTATATAATATAGTATTTTTTTACCGCACCCACGACTAACTTCTTCTGAAATTAGAATATTAAGTCAACCATCTACATTCCACTAATATTTTATATTTGTTGTCACACTGTATTTTATATTTATTGCAACACTGATATTTTATATTTATTGCAACCCTGATATTTTAAATCCTTTGCAGATTGGAAGGGAGGGTAGCAGCTCCAAATATATCTTAATAACAAAAGATCTTTTTGATAGAATGGGTAAATTCCAGGAAATATTTTTATATTCCTCAAAAACTTATTTTTACTTTTAAAAGATTTTAGTTATAAAAGTTTAAATTTGTTTGTGAGGTTTGTGGAATAAATAGATGACTAGAATTTGTATTAATTCTGGATATTTTTTGGTTAATTTAAAATAATTCAAGAAAGATCCTAAAAAAAAAAAATAGTAATAATAATCTTCTTACTGTGTACCCGAGATTACAAGCTTTAACCCTCAATTTTTGTACTGTAGCTAATCTAGAGCTGTCTACCCAGGATCTCAAATAAATCAGTTTTATTTTATTTTTTCAAGTTTTTATAATTTTTTCTACTGTCAAATAACAAAGAATGGTACTAAAGTTTATAATTTTAACATTATCTTTA